TAAAGTATGACAGAAGAAAAATGGTGTTTTCACACCAACTGTGATGCTGAAATGTGACGAAGATTACTGAGAAGGTTTTAGAGGTAAGGAAAAATGCTTTTGAATGCCTAAAGGAGACTTGAACTTTGGTTTACAGTCATGCCAGCTGATATATAATGTTCTAAAGGCTGTTTTGTGGTGAATTACATGATTTACTTTCTTATAATGTATACCTGAATATAAAGACATCTGTCTGCCTTCAGTAATTATCCAGGTATTCTAATATAGCTGTTTCTTCAGCCACCTGGAGGTCGGTTTCACCACGATTGACTTTATTGTTGGGTTAGCTCCCACAATGCACATTTTCACACACGAATGAATCTGTCTACGCAATGAGATTCGATACAATCATTTATGTGGTGAGAAATTTGATATTTGAGTATAGGCTTTGTCTTCTCTCAAATTAGAAGCCTGACAGCATAATACATTTATTTTGATGACTGAATTAAGCCATTTTTGTTTATTTTCATATAAAATGTTTCCATATGTGATTGCATAATCAAGCTGTTCAAAATGAATTGCAGAGATTCATTATATTTCTTAGATAAACTCTGCCTTGTTATAGCAATAGGCTATTGCTTGCAATGGCCTTCATATCCCTCAACATCAATTCAGTCATGTTTTTACAACTTATCTATCGCAGAAATGGAGAAACTATGCAAGTTTTTGAAAGACTAAACTGTTATATCAATATGATTATTAAGTTATGAAGTGAAGATGATATCTTGACGCCTGCTATCTAAATAAAGATGATTATCAGATGATTCAATTCACAATACAGCTGAGCACCACTCATGAAAGATGCCAAGTATTTGAGATATCAACATGATGGCCTATTATTAATTGATGATTAGATAATGGTTAAAGCTTGCCTATGTCAGCCCCCCTCATTCACATTTTCTACTACATTATGTGTCTTTTCTATGGGTGAATTCAATGAAAGTTACGTTTTGAGGATTTTATCAAGCTGGGTGCTTAATACAGTTACTTCAGAACCGCATAATTATCATTACCGATTAATCTGATTGTAGTATTTGACAAGAGAGCTATTATTTCAACTCTTATATCCCTTTATGATTATTATATTACTTGTCCCTGGGGTTCCTAATGGAACATAGGGCTTCAGTAGCACATCTCCAATGCGCTCTCTTCTCTATAACCTTTTGAAATTGGCTCCACGACAGCCCACAAGCTCTCATTTATTCCTCTCACGATCTCCTCTATTTCAGCCCCGCCTACCAAGGCTAACTCGTCGCTTCTCATCGGAGTTCCACTCGAAAACCTGACGCGTGATGTCCCCAGTCGGCCTTCTCAGTGTACGCTCAATCCAATCCATCTCCACTTCCTTCTGCATATTTGTTGGGTGATAGGTTAATGGTTGGTTCGTTCCGAGAGTTCCTTGCTTCTTATTATTTCCGGTCATATGATCTACAGTAGCGAGTGTAGGCACCTGTTGGTGAATATCTGTAGTTTGGTGGAAATGTCCTTCGTAACGCGCAAAGACTCTGAGATATACACAAGCACTGACTTGACGTTGCTGCTGAAAATAAGGATCTTACGCGACATGCTCAGAGCAGAAGATCTCCACACTGGATTAAGGCAAATAAACACCTGCCTTGCTTTTCCGATTCTCACATTGACATCAACATAACCAACGCCTACGCTTCAAACAGTGCTCCATAGATAGGTGGAAGAGACTACTTCGATTAGGTTTCTCCCGTTGATGGTGATCGGAGTTTGTTGTTGTTGTTGTTGCTGGTGGTGATGGTGTTGGCTGTGGCGTTGGTTGAGTATTTGATCAACTCTTCCTCTGTTTTCAATATATTCACATAAAGGAAGTCCCTTCTTCGCTGCCTCTTCTGACAACTTATTAGTTTTCGCCTGTAGATCTTCAAGTTTGTGTGGCATCAGACACAAGTCATCATCGGCGAAAACCAAGTCTTCCAGGATCTTTACCCCATTCCAGCCAGCGTATCCCCCTCTTCTAGCTCCTCACTGCTTGTTGCACGATCCAGTCAATCACAATCAGGAAGATCATGGGTGATAGTAGACAGCAGCCTTGTTTTACTGCTGTCTTCACTTCCACTTCAAAGGCATCACTGAGCTTCCCATTGTGAATCACTTGGCTGGCATATGACGTCTTCATATAGTTGTTGAATGAGGCTGATAAAGGTTTGCGGTATTCCGTAGTATTGAAGCAGTTTCCAAATTACCTCTCGGTCGACGCTGTCGAAGGCCTTTTCAAAGTCAACAAAGTTGACGTGAGGTAGAGAGTCAACTGCTATTCTATACTCTGTTCCATGATGATGCGAATCGCAGCAAATTAGTCCGAATATGGTTTGTACTTGGTGAAGCCAGCCAGTCAGCCAGCCAGCCAGCCAGCCGGCCTGTTCCCGTCGTAGTTTTGAATCCAGTGCATCCTCTAGTCTCTCCAAGATGATGCGGGTTGAGATTTTGCTTGCTTTGGGTGGACAGGAGCGTGATTCCACGCCAGTTCTTGCAAACACTGCGGTCTCCCTTCTTCAGCAGTTTGACAAGGTAGCCGCTCTCCCAATCGATCAGCAGGTACCTTCCCTTCCTTCCTTCCCTCCTTCCCTCCTTCCTTCCTTCCACACCTTCTGCAATAGTGGTGTAGTGTGAGCATGTCCACTGTTGTCTCTGCGTCTGTTCTCAGTGCTTGTGGTGGGATTCCATCTGGTCCTGCTGCTTTCCCACATCTCAGCAGCTTTATGGACTTCTGGACTTGGACTTTCATCGGAGGGCTTGTGTTCACTTGTAGATCTGTAGCCGGGTTGCAGGTGGTGTTTCTGGACGAAGTGCAGGTGGTGGTGGTAGTGGTGGTCGATTCAAGAGCTTTTTGAAGTGGTGGTCACCCCATCGTTTCCTTTGTTTCTCTTCTTTAGTAATTAGATTTCCTTCATCATCTTTTATTAGTTTCATCTGCGTAGATCTCTTCTCAGATAGTAACCTGGTTATTTGATACAATGTTGTCAGGTCTCTGTCTCTCCTACCTGCAGCCTGCAGCCTGTTGTGCTTCACTTGCCAGTGTTTCGTAGAAATGTCTTTCATCTTTCCGTGCACTCTTCTTCACTTCTTTGTCCAGTGTAGTGTTTATACGTTGCACTCAGTTCCTCTTCTGGTTGTGCATCCTTGCACTGCTTCATCTTCTCTTTCACCATCACCACCTTCCTCTCCCTCCTCTATCAACTTCCATGTGTCCATCGAGATCACTTCCTTATATTCTTTCTTGTTCCTCCCTGACACGGTTATTCAGATTTCCTTCCACATAGCTTTCAAAGACTTCCAGTGTTCTTCCACACAGGTTTCTTCAGGGATGTCCCTCGATATCTCCCATTTTGTCTTGATGCCCGACTGATGTGAAGATCTCCTTTGTAGTTTCGTCCTTCAGTTCAGTTACTGTTCTGGGTGGGCGTTGACCTTGGAGTTGAACAGTGGTCTATCACCAACTGTTTTGGAGGCTTTCAACTTGATTTCGAAGGTTCCTTGCACTTGATAGTGAATGGTGTGAACCTACATCTGCTCCTCTTCTTGGTCTTGTTTACAGCAGGCTGCGTCTCCACTTTCTTCACATTGAGATGAAGTCGATCTGATTTCTAGTGTGTCCATTTGGTGAAATCAGATCCATGTCACTTTGTGAATATACTTGTGCTTGAACACACTACCTCCAATCTCCAATTCGTTGAATGCGCAGAATTCTGCAAACAATTCTCCATTCTCATTCATCACCTCACCCAGCGCTTCTCGACCCATGATGAGTTCTCTTCCTGTGTTGTCCCCTCCCAGTTTGGCATTCATCTCACTTCACCCATTAGAATTTCGATGTCGCCACCTGAGGTCTTGTCCAGTGCTGATTGCAGTTGTCTGTAGAATTCCTCCTTCTCCTCTTCATCTGCATTATTTGTGGGTGCATAGCGTAGCATTGTATGATTGTAATTTTCCTTCCTTTTGAGTTGAACCTTGCTGTCATGATCCTGATCGTGATCCTGATGCTGCAGGAGATTGCTTCCCACTGCATGAGAGAGAGCCTTCGATGCTGTTGGCAGGGGGACATCATGATAGCCACTCGAGAACTCAGTGTGCTTTGCTCGTGGTTGTCGTGTTGTCTGGGTGACAATATCGGAGTAGATTATAGACTCTCCATTTGACATTTTGGAGAGTCCACTTCCATTCCATCTGCTTTCGCGAATTCTGAGCACTTCAATGTGATACCTCCTCATCTCGTTTGCAATCTGGCCAACCTTGCTAGGTTCAAACATGGTGCGGACATTCCATGTCCTCAAGTTTACTTTCGCTTTCATCGAGAGAAGAGAAGACACATCGGCCCGCCAATTGGCTTGCTGAAGGCTTTCACCAACTCGCGTTATTTCGCCTCTCCGATTCAAGCGAGGAGTAATTTTGTTTTTATTTTATATATTTTGTTTGTGCAGTGAAGTTTGTTTGGCGGTTGGATTGGTTTTACGGGGTAGGGTTGGTAGCCCTATGCCCAACCTTCCTTCTTTACTTGTGCTTAGGATCGGCTAATAACTAGTGAACTGGTTAATCGGGCGAGGTTTCTTATCTCCCTTACGTTAGTAAAAAGCTTTTACACTTTCAATGGATCAGACATCTGTACCATCACCGGTGTTATAGATCGCCATTCATCTCAACAAACATCAAGGTTTTAAGGAATTATACATGAATAGATATACACTGCTTTTTCTGATGATGTGAACCATCTTTTCTATACTACAGACAACTTTAGTTACTCTGCAAAATGTGAGGTATATAAAAAACGGTTTCATAGGTAGACTTTTAAAACCTTAGTCAGGAAAATCTATTTTTATGCAATAATCCCTCATGATGTAAAAGTGTATACACAACTTATCTGGAAATTTTCGTTTACCAATCCTCCCTAAATGTCATCTTTCTTCTGTGTATCATTTTCACCTCTCTATCTTCAGATGTTCCAGTAATACGTCCATTTCAATCAAATCCTATGAATGTACTAGAAACTACTTCATTTACACAATTCTGTCAAGTTCAAGCAAATCCTCCAGCTGAAATTCACTGGATCGATGAGGATCAGAATATAGTTTCAAGTAATTTAAAATAGATTTTTCTTTTTTCTTTATCAGTTTTTATACACTTGGTCATGCAGGAAATTACCGTCATTGATAAAAGAATATTGAAAAACAGCTTCTTTATTTACCTGATAAGGGAATCCGATCCATTATATCACTGTGAGCCGAAAAGAATCAGATTTCAAGTCCGATTTCCGAGACAATTTCATGAAACACATAACTGAGCCCTTTACATCCTAATTATGATCCATAATACAAGTTGACTGGCCACCAAAGATTATCATTTTGACTATTTGAGATAGTAGTGTCGATACTAATCTACCAAACTATAGTTATCTCAGATGGTCAAAATTATAATCAATATGATGCTCCCCCTCTCTGATTCAGTTAGATTTGGATTGGGATGAGTTCTGACTGGGCAGCCAGTGTGAATACGATCAAGCGGTAGTAACCCCATGCGAATGCACATAGTAATCGGACAAAACCTCTGTTGACTGAGGTTAAATCAAGGTCTGGTCAGCAGTCGGATGTTGTAGCTTAGTTAGTGGAGCATCGGGTCGGAAACCCAGTGGTTGCTGGTTCGAACCCGCCCAAGGTCCATATTTCCATTTCACCTTCCATCATCATCCAGTATCAAAACTACAGAAAAGCCAACTTCATGTTGTCTACCTCTAAATAGTGTTTGAATTTCATGAATGTTTTTACAATGTGGCCCCCAAGATAGGAGACTTATCATCATCTTCCACTTGAACAGATGTTAGAAAACTGGAGGTCTCATAAAGAAAGCTCTGCTCAACCTAGATTTCTTACTTGTTGACATGCGTAAGTAAGGCTTATCTGAAATCTCAGGAGAAGCTGATGTTCCGTATGGGATTAAAGTCTATGTCACAGCCCTTATCACTCAGCTATTTGGCTTCGATCGAACTTCATCTGAGATGAATTAGGTACACTGATTGATCCACAATATGAAATAACTTTGGAAAATAAGAAGTTAACCAGGCTCAAATAGTTAACTAGTTCACAAGTTACTAGCTGATCCTAAGCACAAGTAAAGAGGGAAGGTTGGGCATAGGGCTACCAACCCTACCCCGTAAAACCAATCCAACCGCCAAACAAACTTCACTGCACAAACAAAATATATAAAATAAAAACAAAATTACTCCTCGCTTGAATCGGAGAGGCGAAATAACGCGAGTTGGTGAAAGCCTTCAGCAAGCCAATTGGCGGGCCGATGTGTCTTCTCTTCTCTCGATGAAAGCGAAAGTAAACTTGAGGACATGGAATGTCCGCACCATGTTTGAACCTAGCAAGGTTGGCCAGATTGCAAACGAGATGAGGAGGTATCACATTGAAGTGCTCAGAATTCGCGAAAGCAGATGGAATGGAAGTGGACTCTCCAAAATGTCAAATGGAGAGTCTATAATCTACTCCAATATTGTCACCCAGACAACACGACAACCACGAGCAAAGCACACTGAGTTCTCGAGTGGCTATCATGATGTCCCCCTGCCAACAGCATCGAAGGCTCTCTCTCATGCAGTGGGAAGCAATCTCCTGCAGCATCAGGATCACGATCAGGATCATGACAGCAAGGTTCAACTCAAAAGGAAGGAAAATTACAATCATACAATGCTACGCTATGCACCCACAAATAATGCAGATGAAGAGGAGAAGGAGGAATTCTACAGACAACTGCAATCAGCACTGGACAAGACCTCAGGTGGCGACATCGAAATTCTAATGGGTGAAGTGAGATGAATGCCAAACTGGGAGGGGACAACACAGGAAGAGAACTCATCATGGGTCGAGAAGCGCTGGGTGAGGTGATGAATGAGAATGGAGAATTGTTTGCAGAATTCTGCGCATTCAACGAATTGGAGATTGGAGGTAGTGTGTTCAAGCACAAGTATATTCACAAAGTGACATGGATCTGATTTCACCAAATGGACACACTAGAAATCAGATCGACTTCATCTCAATGTGAAGAAAGTGGAGACGCAGCCTGCTGTAAACAAGACCAAGAAGAGGAGCAGATGTAGGTTCACATCATTCACTATCAAGTGCAAGGAACCTTCGAAATCAAGTTGAAAGCCTCCAAAACAGTTGGTGATAGACCACTGTTCAACTCCAAGGTCAACGCCCACCCAGAACAGTAACTGAACTGAAGGACGAAACTACAAAGGAGATCTTCACATCAGTCGGGCATCAAGACAAAATGGGAGATATCGAGGGACATCCCTGAAGAAACCTGTGTGGAAGAACACTGGAAGTCTTTGAAAGCTATGTGGAAGGAAATCTGAATAACCGTGTCAGGGAGGAACAAGAAAGAATATAAGGAAGTGATCTCGATGGACACATGGAAGTTGATAGAGGAGGGAGAGGAAGGTGGTGATGGTGAAAGAGAAGATGAAGCAGTGCAAGGATGCACAACCAGAAGAGGAACTGAGTGCAACGTATAAACACTACACTGGACAAAGAAGTGAAGAAGAGTGCACGGAAAGATGAAAGACATTTCTACGAAACACTGGCAAGTGAAGCACAACAGGCTGCAGGCTGCAGGTAGGAGAGACAGAGACCTGACAACATTGTATCAAATAACCAGGTTACTATCTGAGAAGAGATCTACGCAGATGAAACTAATAAAAGATGATGAAGGAAATCTAATTACTAAAGAAGAGAAACAAAGGAAACGATGGGGTGACCACCACTTCAAAAAGCTCTTGAATCGACCACCACTACCACCACCACCTGCACTTCGTCCAGAAACACCACCTGCAACCCGGCTACAGATCTACAAGTGAACACAAGCCCTCCGATGAAAGTCCAAGTCCAGAAGTCCATAAAGCTGCTGAGATGTGGGAAAGCAGCAGGACCAGATGGAATCCCACCACAAGCACTGAGAACAGACGCAGAGACAACAGTGGACATGCTCACACTACACCACTATTGCAGAAGGTGTGGAAGGAAGGAAGGAGGGAAGGAGGGAAGGAAGGAAGGGAAGGTACCTGCTGATCGATTGGGAGAGCGGCTACCTTGTCAAACTGCTGAAGAAGGGAGACCGCAGTGTTTGCAAGAACTGGCGTGGAATCACGCTCCTGTCCACCCAAAGCAAGCAAAATCTCAACCCGCATCATCTTGGAGAGACTAGAGGATGCACTGGATTCAAAACTACGACGGGAACAGGCCGGCTGGCTGGCTGGCTGGCTGACTGGCTGGCTTCACCAAGTACAAACCATATTCGGACTAATTTGCTGCGATTCGCATCATCATGGAACAGAGTATAGAATAGCAGTTGACTCTCTACCTCACGTCAACTTTGTTGACTTTGAAAAGGCCTTCGACAGCGTCGACCGAGAGGTAATTTGGAAACTGCTTCAATACTACGGAATACCGCAAACCTTTATCAGCCTCATTCAACAACTATATGAAGACGTCATATGCCAGCCAAGTGATTCACAATGGGAAGCTCAGTGATGCCTTTGAAGTGGAAGTGAAGACAGCAGTAAAACAAGGCTGCTGTCTACTATCACCCATGATCTTCCTGATTGTGATTGACTGGATCGTGCAACAAGCAGTGAGGAGCTAGAAGAGGGGATACGCTGGCTGGACTGGGGTAAAGATCCTGGAAGACTTGGTTTTCGCCGATGATGACTTGTGTCTGATGCCACACAAACTTGAAGATCTACAGGCGAAAACTAATAAGTTGTCAGAAGAGGCAGCGAAGAAGGGACTTCCTTTATGTGAATATATTGAAAACAGAGGAAGAGTTGATCAAATACTCAACCAACGCCACAGCCAACACCATCACCACCAGCAACAACAACAACAACAAACTCCGATCACCATCAACGGGAGAAACCTAATCGAAGTAGTCTCTTCCACCTATCTATGGAGCACTGTTTGAAGCGTAGGCGTTGGTTATGTTGATGTCAATGTGAGAATCGGAAAAGCAAGGCAGGTGTTTATTTGCCGTAAACTAATGTTGAGATCTGCACTGCAGTGCATTGCATTGCACTCAGCATAATGCATGTGTGAACAAGATAAGGATTTCCAACAATAATTCAGTCAAGTGAAGCAGTGCTTCCACGTGATGGATGGTTGGGAGACTTTGCACGTTACGAAAGGCATTCCCAACAAACTACAAATATTCATCAACAACTGTCTACGCTGGCTGGCTCGTTACTAACACTGAAGCTCAGATGGATTACCATAAAGAATAAGCAAGAACGAAGTCACTCTGGCCTCCCAACGAAACAACCACGAACCCTTTCTCTCAACAAGTGTGCAGTGGAAGGAAATGGAGATGGATTGGATTGGGCATACACTGAGAAGACCAATTGGGGACATCTAGCACCAGGTCGGGGTGTCGAGTGGAATCGAGATGGGAAACTACGAGTTGGGTATCCGAGACAAAGGTGATATGGAGGAGACCATGTGAGGAGTAAATGATAGCTTGTTGTGGGTAGTGGTGGAGGCAGGTTGAAAAGATTTCAGAGAGGAGAATGAAATGGAGACGTGCTACTGAATCTTTATGTTCCACTATGAACCTAAGGGACAAATAATAATAAAATAGTTAAGAGACTATTCAAGTAGACTTAAGTTAAGTACGGATAACAAATTCAAATGAGTGACAGTCAATAATGATATCTTTAGATTATAGTTCCCATGAAAGTATATGTATACACTTAAAATAATGACTATTAAATAGTTTCAAGTCAACTAAATGACCGAATGAATTGATGAATGATTTTCATGTCTTTAAAAAAAATTTGTCTAACTTTACTTTGTGCACATTTAAATAACTTTTTTTCTGCATCTTCATTACAAAAAGGAAAGTTTTTATTTGGCTTATTCATTGGAGCCTAGTTTTAGACATCTATAGGATTTAATCAATCTCAGTTAGCACTGGAAAAAATAAATTATGTTGTTGTTTGTCATTTAAACAAATATTCATGTAGATTTTATAGAGAATGAAAGCACAATATTCCTTATTTTACTTTGGAATTTATGAGGATTTCATTCCTAAGGTAGTATCCATCACGAAATGGCATTATTTGGAGAAACAATAAAAAGCTAGGAGTAATGAACACGTGTTTGATTCTAGTATGAGACTCCTCAACAGTACCTTAAAAATAAAACCTTCATAAGCTTAAAAGTACATTACTGTGTAGTGCTCACTAGTGACATGGATATCTCAAAGTTCCAATGGGAAGCAGTGAACTTAGAAGTCAACCAGTCAGAAGGGATATGAATGCCAGCTGAAGACCTTGATGGGTGGTGGCACCAAACTGCTAATTGACAGAAGTATGAAAATGTGGACCATTGAGCTTCAACCCAGTGACTGAATGGTTAATGAATTTTCTCCGAAACCTGAAGGTTAGTACTGCTGAGTAGTCATTACTGTTCATTTTCACGAGTTTCAAAATAATAAGAAATATAGATCTCTTTTTGTTGTACTCACTTCTTACTGTTTCGTATCAGAAACTACCATCTTTCAATGTGGAAAACAGTAAAGTATCAACAAAAAACTGGGCTACAGAAGGATTTAAAACATCTGTACCTCGGGATGAGGATCATGCTGGTTCGGTGTTCTATGAGTTTCAGTATACCCACAGACTATATTCTACTCTTTTTGAAGTTTACTTCAGAGGTACCACCAAATAACTGTTGCACAAAGTCTTTCTGGCGTTCACGACCAGGTACATGAAAAATTGGTAAATATTGTGAGAATGAGTTGTCAGGCTTCGGTTTTTGCTCAATTATTTATGATAATATTACATATGGAATTTGAGACTGACTATATTTTGAGGCTTGTGTCATTTCCTTCTCTAACATTTATTTTATTGGTCTATCAAGCTATCAAGTTTGGCCGCACTCACCATTGCACAAGTTTTTCTTTAAATATTTCTGCTATTACGACTACAGTTTTCTTATACAATGGCAAAAAGCTTAATCCAGTGTCTCTGTGATGTACCACCTAACCAATGAAATTATCCATGATCTATTCATATGTTTCGCTGCTTCATTTTTGATTTTTATTTAGTTCACTGGAGCCATCAAATCACATCACACTGTTTATGCTATTTGTTTTATTTATAGTATAAAAAGACCCCTAGATAACTGTAATTTTCATCTCATTTCAGCTAATTCTTCGCTTTTGGTACATCATGTAAGTAGAAATGGACCGAAACAGTACAACTGTGTGACGTCAAATAAAATCGGTAAAAGTGTTCAAAAGCTACTGATTGATGTACTTTGTAAGCGACAATTTTATATTCACTTTTCAGTTTGAAACTTGAAATGACTGAAAGCATTCTTTAAAGAAAATTGCAGTTCATTCACTAATTGCCATCTTTAAAAATCTAGTGTCCACTTAAATGGCATATTCCAAGACAGATAAGCAGAATTTACCAGCAGAAATACCATTTGGATTGAAAAACTAGTTAAATAATCAAGCTTCCGCAATATGACCGTAATATATGGTACATGAAACTTAATTTTCAAACTCACCTTATAAGTGCTTACCACGATCACCTTGTTTTCTTACCTCCAATCTCGACGAACTGATATCCTCACCAACCAGAAATTAGGACTAGACAACGTGAAGTTAGCTACTCTCCAGTGACCAATCAGTGTGTCTAGTTCAACTCAAATAGCTCAAAGGTAATGTCGCTAGCTACAACATTGGGTGACGTGGGTTCGAACCCCGGGCGGGACATCAGTTGTACGGAGGTTGTAGACACGTCTTGCTGACGAGTGCCAACAAGCACGAAACCTAGGTCCAACAGAGTTTCCTACCGATTGTCTGCATCTAACTAACATCTATCAAAGTGAATTACGGTGCTCAGCTCCCTATTGTGGTGGACAAATTGCAAAATGTTCGATAGAACTAGATCAGCACTTAGGACTGAATAACATGAAGTTGGTTACCTTTCAGTGACCAATCAGTTTACCCTAGATTTATTTGCGTTTTCCAAACCATTTGAGTTTGAAACAATGATAAGTTCATACTCTAAAAATTTTTTGGTTTTAAATTTACAGGTTGATTAGTTTCCCCACCTGAAAAGAATCTACTTTAGGTCCAAAGCTAAGCATGTAAATAGTATGAGGGTTACGTCAGATACCCTGTAAAGCCACTTTACTGGTTCACCCATGAAATGAAGAAATACAATAAAAATTAGCCAAATGATCGTTTCATATATTTCTTCAAGGTTACAGTTATTCCATGTTGGCCAGTTTTGATAAAGGCAAGACATAGGTGCAAAATATTCTGTGAAATACCTTCAACTTTGCAACATCAGATACAGTATAATTCAGTACCGAGTTATTTAAAATAGTAGCCATAGTAATAATAATAATAATAAAGTATAATGCCTAATGGTGGAATTCAGGATATGCATCTTCTAGCAGTTGCAACTCCTCAACTGGATTTACTTACCTCTTAAAGTATGATGTCGTCCCCTTTTAGACTAAAATGAAACCCCATCATTTTAAATGCCGCAGCGTTATCCTGTTGACTAGTGAGTTAACTTATCGATGGAACACAGTTGGAACGCCTAGAATAAATAAAGTGATCATTTCGACTTCTCATTGGAGAATTAGACTACTGGCTTTACTGCTAAGCATAACAACAATAAATCAAGGATGCATGTATGCATTGTTAATATTGTTAATTCAAAACGTGAATTATAGATACAAAAAGTCTGGTTAACCTAAGAATTACATTCAGCAGAACGGGTCTAAAAACTGAAGAGTAAAGACAAACACTTTTTCTTAGAAAGGATCAAAAAGGGACTTAATGGATGGCAATTTCTTCCTCACTTGGAAGAAATGAAGTTCAAAGATGTCACAGTGGTAAATGAGGCTAGTGATTTTGGTCACTAACCACAGATCACGGCTTCTCATTAGAGCTTCGTGACATCCATCTGGAAGCATTTCACTGGTGAGCACTATACGATTGTAAGCGCGTACTGCTGAAGAGTCCCATTATTATTATATTATTAGTCCCTTGGGTTCCAAGTGCAACATAGGGCTTCAGAAGCACGTCTCCATTCCACTCTCTTCTCTGAGATCTTTTGAACCTGGCTCCACGACAACCCAGAAGCTCTCATTTCCTCCTCGCACGACCTCCTCCATGTCACCATCACCGCGGACACCCAACTCGTCGCTTCCCATCGGAGTTCCACTCGAGTGCCTGGCCTGACGCGTGATGTCCCCAGTCGGCCTTCTCAGTGCATGCCCAATCCATCTCCACTTCCTCCTGCATAGTTGTTGAGTGATAGGTTCTTGGTTGGTTCGTTCCCAGAGCTCCTTGTCGCTTATTCTTTCTGGCAATCCATCTGATCTTCAGTAGCGAGCCAGCGTAAGCAGTTGTTGATGAATGTCTGTATTTTTTGGAAATCCCTTTCTTGACGCGCCAAGTCTCTCAACCATCATACAGAAGCATTGACTTGACTTTGGTATTGAAAATCCGGATGTTGTTCCACATGCTGAGTGCAGAAGATCTCCACACTGGTTTCAGGCTAAGGAACGCCTGTCTTCCTTTCCGATTCTGACTTTGACATCCTCGTCTGTGCCGCTGCCTGTAGTTGAAACAGTGCTTCCTAGATAGGTGTAGGAAGTTACTTCCTTTAAGTTTCTCCCGTTGATGGTGACTGGAGTTTGTTGGAGGTGGTGGTGCGGTATCTTCATCACCTCTACCTCCGTCTTCTCTATATTCACTTGAAGTCCCTTCTTCGCTGCCTCTTCTGACAACTTGTTAGTTTTCGCCTGTAGATCTTCAAGTTTGTGTGGCATCAGACACAGTTCATCATCGGCGAAAACCAAGTCTTCTAGGTTCTTTTCCGCAGTCCAGCGTATCTCCCTCTTCTCGCTCCCAACTGTTTGCTGCATCATCCAGTAGACCACTAACAGGAATATCATGGGTGATGGTAGGCAAACTTGTTTCACTCCTGTCTTCACTTCACTTCGAAAGCACCACTGAGCTTCCCATTGTGAATCACTTGGCTGGCATATGACGTCTTCATATATTTGTTGAATGAGGCTGATAAAGGTTTGCGGTATTCCGTAGTATTGAAGCAGTTTCCAAATTACCTCTCGGTCGACGCTGTCGAAGGCCTTTTCAAAGTCAACAAAGTTGAGGTGAGGTGTAGAGTTGACTGCTATTCTATACTCTGTTCCATGATGATGCGAATCGTAGCAATTTAGTCCGCATATGGTTTGTACTTGGTGAAGCCAGCCAGTCAGCCAGCCAGCCAGCCGGCCTGTTCCCGTCGTAGTTTTGAATCCAGTGCATCCTCTAGTCTCTCCAAGATGATGCGGGTTGAGATTTTGCTTGCTTTGGGTGGACAGGAGCGTGATTCCACGCCAGTTCTTGCAAACACTGCGGTCTCCCTTCTTCAGCAGTTTGACAAGGTAGCCGCTCTCCCAATCGATCAGCAGGTACCTTCCCTTCCTTCCTTCCCTCCTTCCCTCCTTCCTTCCTTCCACACCTTCTGCAATAGTGGTGTAGTGTGAGCATGTCCACTGTTGTCTCTGCGTCTGTTCTCAGTGCTTGTGGTGGGATTCCATCTGGTCCTGCTGCTTTCCCACATCTCAGCAGCTTTATGGACTTCTGGACTTGGACTTTCATCGGAGGGCTTGTGTTCACTTGTAGATCTGTAGCCGGGTTGCAGGTGGTGTTTCTGGACGAAGTGCAGGTGGTGGTGGTAGTGGTGGTCGATTCAAGAGCTTTTTGAAGTGGTGGTCACCCCATCGTTTCCTTTGTTTCTCTTCTTTAGTAATTAGATTTCCTTCATCATCTTTTATTAGTTTCATCTGCGTAGATCTCTTCTCAGATAGTAACCTGGTTATTTGATACAATGTTGTCAGGTCTCTGTCTCTCCTACCTGCAGCCTGCAGCCTGTTGTGCTTCACTTGCCAGTGTTTCGTAGAAATGTCTTTCATCTTTCCGTGCACTCTTCTTCACTTCTTTGTCCAGTGTAGTGTTTATACGTTGCACTCAGTTCCTCTTCTGGTTGTGCATCCTTGCACTGCTTCATCTTCTCTTTCACCATCACCACCTTCCTCTCCCTCCTCTATCAACTTCCATGTGTCCATCGAGATCACTTCCTTATATTCTTTCTTGTTCCTCCTGACACGGTTATTCAGATTTCCTTCCACATAGCTTTCAAAGACTTCCAGTGTTCTTCCACACAGGTTTCTTCAGGGATGTCCCTCGATATCTCCCATTTTGTCTTGATGCCCGACTGATGTGAAGATATCCTTTGTAGTTTCATCCTTCAGTTTCCGAGTGCTGTACCTAAATTGAGGTCTATCACCAGCTTTCTTGAATGCTTTCGACTTGGTTTGGAAGGTTTCTTGCACTTGACAGTGAGTGGTCTGAACTCACATCTGCTCCTCTCCTTCACCTTGTGTCAAGTAGACTACGTCTCCATCTCCCCTTTCTTCACATTGAGATGAAGTCGATCTGATTTCTAGCGTGTCCATTTGGTGAAATCAACTACATGTCACTGACTTGTCGATATCCTTGTGCTCCAACTGAACACACTGCCTCGCCTCCAATCACCAAATCGTTGAATGCGCAGAATTCTGCAAACAATTCTCCATGCTCATTCATCACCTCACCCAGCGCTTCTCGACCCATGATGAGTTCTCTTCCTGTGTTGTCCCCTCCCAGTTTGGCATTCATCTCACTTCACCCATTAGAATTTCGATGTCGCCACCTGAGGTCTTGTCCAGTGCTGATTGCAGTTGTCTGTAGAATTCCTCCTTCTCCTCTTCATCTGCATTATTTGTGGGTGCATAGCGTAGCATTGTATGATTGTAATTTTCCTTCCTTTTGAGTTGAACCTTGCTGTCATGATCCTGATCGTGATCCTGATGCTGCAGGAGATTGCTTCCCACTGCATGAGAGAGAGCCTTCGATGCTGTTGGCAGGGGGACATCATGATAGCCACTCGAGAACTCAGTGTGCTTTGCTCGTGGTTGTCGTGTTGTCTGGGTGACAATATCGGAGTAGATTATAGACTCTCCATTTGACATTTTGGAGAGTCCACTTCCATTCCATCTGCTTTCGCGAATTCTGAGCACTTCAATGTGATACCTCCTCATCTCGTTTGCAATCTGGCCAACCTTGCTAGGTTTCAACATGGTGCGGACATTCCATGTCCTCAAGTTTACTTTCGCTTTCATCGAGAGAAGAGAATACACATCGACCCGGCCAATCGGCTTGCTGAAGGCTTTCACCGATCGGCGTCATTTTGTCTCTCCGATTCCAGCGCGGAATAAGTTTGTTTTTATTTTTTTATGTATCGTTTGTTCTTTGAAGTTTCTTTAGCGGTTAGATTTGTTTTACGGGGTGGGTTTGGTAGCCCTATGCCCAACCTTCCCTCTTTACTTGGGCTTAGGACCGGCTATTAACTTGTGAACTAGTTAACCAGGCGAGGTTGAAGAGCCCCATACTAGAACAAAACAGGTGTGCATTGCTCCCATGTTTCCAAAGGCTCCCCAAATGACCTCGTTCCGTGATGAATACTACCTCAAAACTCTTCTGTTAATAATAACGATAGTTAATGAGTTATTTTAGCGAAATATGAGTACAATGACACAGTTGGTAAATCTCAAAACTACAGTAGATTCAGATGTTGTGTCAGCCTTTAAAGTCACTCACTGCTTTCATTTATACTCTTATATATGACAAAAAACTGGAAATGTAAATAAACGTATTTGCGCAATTTTTAAAACAGTTAACGTTTCTAGAAATTACTACACGGTGAGAAATTGGGCACAACTTTTCTGGAAGATTGTATCCAAATATCTGAAAATATTAGTAATTTACGTTAAAATTCATCAACGAACGTTTATGCGCCTATTAAGTATGAAAACAAGCATAGCTTTGGAGATTCGATATAAACATTTGTATAGGTTTCCTGCTACTTATTGCGTAACTTTGGTATCAAACTATAATAAGAAAATTATCATTCAAACATACGAAAAATCCCAATTTCTTCACCTGCTATTGAGTTTATCTGATTGATGAAAGAACCTTAGTGACTTGATTTGTCGACAAAAGTACCAGTCCGTGGGAAGGAACTCCAGAGTACTTTGGAAACCGAAGAGTGCCTAATTACTGCTATGTTACGGAGTTGTATACGTCCAACCCTTGTGAATTGTCATCCTATATACTTACATCGTTATCAGCCTTCAAACATCGCTAGTTGATAGTTTCGGTCCCTTCATGATGATAATGTAGAAGGCTACTAAATCACATCTAATTTAATCTACCTTTATAAATTTTTTTTTCATTGTTACATCGTTTTTAAGATTTCAACCAGAGAATGTCCACATAATAAACATCCATTTTCTACAATACTGTCGATAAATATGCTTGTGAAATAACTGGAAACAATGTAAAATATTTTAGACATTGCGTATTTCTTTAATAACTAAATAATAATTATTATTATATTATTTATTTGTCCCTTAGGTTCATAGTGGGACATAGAGATTCAGTAGCACGTCTCCATTTCATTCTCCTCTCTGAAATCTTTTCAACCTGCCTCCACCACTACCCACAACAAGCTATCATTTACTCCTCACATGGTCTCCTCCACATCACCTTTGTCTCGGATACCCAACTCGTCGTTTCCCATCTCGATTCCACTCAACACCCCGGCCTGGTGCGAGATGTCCCCAATCGGTCTTCTCAGTGTATGCCCAATCCAATCCATCTCCACTTCCTTCCACTGCATATTTGTTGAGAGAAAGGGTTCTTGGTTGTTTCGTTGGCAGGCCAGAGTGACTTCCTTCTTGCTTATTCTTTATGGCGATCCATCTGAGCTTCAGTGTTAGTAAGGAGCCAGTATAGGCAGTTGTTGATGAATATGTGTAGTTTGTTGGAAATGTCTTTCGTTGCGCGCCAAATCTCCCAACCATCCATCACGTGGAAGCACTGCTTCACTTGACTGAATTATTGTTGAAAATCCTTATCTTGTTCACACATGCATTATGCTGAGTGCAGGGTAGTGCAGTGCAGTGGAGTGCAGAAGATTTCCACACTGGATTCAGGTTAATGCAGGAAGGCCTATCCTGCTTTTGCGATCCTAGCTGCTTTGAAGTTCTCGTGAGTGCCTGTGCCGTCGTAAGTGAAACGATGCTGCCTCGCCTAAGTAGGTGAAAGAGGCAACTTCGTTTAGGTTTCTCCCGTTGATGGTGATCGGAGTTTGTTGTTGCTGTTGTTGTCGTTGGTGGTGGTGGTGGTGTTTAGTGGTGTTTCACTCCCTCTACCAACAACCTTCAAAATTCTAAGCAATTTAGAGTCCAGGAAACGATAGGAAGAATGATAAAAGTAAGTATATTCAAACCGCAGGAGTTAAGAAAACGTAAGATTAGAAGCTGCGTTATGCCAGACAGTTTTATTTCCCTGTTGCAAATTGTCAAGCAAAAGATTTTCCTGAAAATCAGTAAAACACGAGCGGATCAAGAAAAATCGGAAGAAAACCAAAAGTTAAGATGTTTCACGTATGATGCATTCTCTACAAAAGAGTCATCTATAAGGCGTTAGTCATCGGAATAAAGCAATTTGAATAGGTCCTGTTCACGCCTTAAGCTAAAATTAACCATCTGACATTTGGAAGGATTGAGGGTGTGGTAATTTAAGAAAGACCAGTGACTGACTTTGGTTAAAAAGTTATTAAACTGGAAACAACCTGAAGTTATATCAGTCTTACTTCTCTGAAAGTGCACTAGTAAACTGAATTCCTTTCTACTCTTTATCAATAGATCAGTCTTTTTTGCGATCTGTAAAAAATTGTCAAGTTTTGTGAAATATTTTACTGTTATTTCCAATTACATAAGTTGACTTTTTTTATAAACAGATCCTCCAACAGTTCATGTGCAACCAACAATAACTGGTAATGCGGGAGAAGCTTTAGAGGTAGTATGTCGTGTTGACGCCAATCCAAGTGTTTCATCAATTTATTGGACCTTCAATAAGTCATCTGATCAAAGAAGAAAATCAACCAAAACTTCATTATATTCATCTCTTTCAAATAGACTAGATGGTTCCAGATTGAAAATTCCATACACATATATATACCATACAGGTGAATATCACTGTCATGCAGAGACTGATATTCACACACCAAGTGATTTAAAATTATCACAAAAATCATTAACTCCCAAGGAAATATGGTCTATCTGGCAACAGAGATCTAGGCTACATGCATCAGTCAACTTAACTATAAACTGTAAGTCACAAATACTGCTTAAATGAATCGGCAATATAATGTATACTTGTTTTTATTTATACAATGAAAGATTAAATTTTGACTTCTCTTCAACACAGGCTACCTTGACTCCTTGTTAACAAACGTAATAAATACTCATTTGCATTTTTAGTATATCATGAAACTGCTACCGATTAAAAGTACCAAACATTAGTGTTAGGAGGTTCTATTTAGTCTTAAAGTCTTTAGAATCAGCATTCTAACCGAAGACTAAGATTGTTTATCATATCCAATTGTTAGTGTTTATCGAGAAAAATATTTTAGGCGTCAAGAAGAGTGTACTGTTCTGTAATATTTCTTCTTTAGGAAACTGATAACTTTATAAAGTGTACTTCAATCACCATTATCACATTCTATAGTTGCTTCTGTAGGCATTCATCAAATGAATTCCAATCCATTGAAGTTAAACTGTTATACCACGTTGTTATAATATAAAAAACGGAGTGAGTAAAGAAATATTTCAAACCAGTAAAAATTCCCATAAAATTTATAAAACGCAACAATCTAAACAAAGAATATTCTTTCAGCAAATTCTCTTCAGGTTCTACAATTATAAAATACATTTGTACAGCTTAAAAAACAAGTCATGTTATGAGCAGTTACATTTTTAAAAAGGGGAAGAGATATAGAGAGGGATTGTAAGAGAATCGAATTATCTTTCTTAAATTAGTCAATATTGGGATGATACATATACAGAAGAATGATATGATGGTAAACAAAAGCATAACGAATAAGATGGCTGGAATGGCTTTTAGCTAGCTGAAGTAGTAAAAAGTTCAGTCCTACCGCATATAGTTGATACAGTGTATCGCATAGATGCTTATAAAGCTTTCAATTTCATTCATCGTGTTCGGAAAACGACACCTTATGCAGCTCGTCAACACCTACTCAACATAGCGGAGGCTGTCGCAATAAGATTGATTCGGCCTGAACTCTGAATTCAGAAAAAACATGTTCAAGCTTTACTTCTCCCTTGGTCTTCAGCTAACCCAAGGTCATTCCAGCCATCTTATTCGTTATGCTTTTGTTTACCATCATATCATTCTTCTGTATATGTATCATCCCAACATTGACTAATTTAAGAAAGATAATTCGATTCCCTTACAATCCCTCCCTATATCTCTTCCCCTTTTTTAAAATGTAACTGCCCATAACATGACTTGTTTTTTAATCTGTACAAATGCATTTTATAATTGTAGAACCTGAAGAGATTTTGCTGAAAAGAATATTTTTCGTTCAGATTGTTACTTTTTATGGAAAAAGATTTCAAGGAGGACGTTTTCATCGACTGTACACTAATATACAAGCTTTACATTTAATAATAAAATACGACACAATGGTGATGGGTTAATTAAATTAGACAACCACTCATGAAGCCAATAATTTGAGAAAGAGGTTAGAAATTGATGAGTATGGTAACTATATATGTTTGATAGAAGTGTAAAATAAGGTAAAACAGGGTGTTACTTCATTAATGGCATAACAATTAATATACACAGGGAAGAACTTCGGGTAACTGAAAACCTGTGAACAGTAAAGTGGTATGTAATTGTAATTATAAGGAACTGGAAAACTAAGAGTACAGACAGTGTGGGCTGTCACCATATTATAGTCAATTAAGTAAACAAAAAATGTAATAAAAAGGAAGTTAGCAGTTACTTTATTCTGATGACCTAGGTTGAACAAATGTTTTCTGAATACAAAGGCTCAGCTTATGGTGATGTGTAGTAATGGCTATTACTATGTGTGACAAGCGAATACATAAACTAAGATGAAGACCGAATGGTATGCAGTAAATAACTGTAAAATTCCTGCTTATATTCTTTTAATGAACAGTATCTATCAAATGTACAAGTACTGACCCTTTAATTATCTTTATCTGTCCTTTACTCAACAACGAAGAACAGTTTTCAGATATTCTCCCATGGACCTACCTGATTTTAGACTCTATGTAGCTAGGTCCACATAAGCAGTCAAAGTGACAGATGCACACAGAACAGGGAGAATCAGGAAGTCTATCTTTATACCCTGAAACTATAGTTGGCCGACTGAAGAAGATAGAAAACAACTTTACAGCATTGAACCTGCTCTGATTTCATTTGACTACTTCAGATAAAAAAATCTGCTGATTTTGCCAGGTCTATTTCTAGCCTTATATTATTATTATTTGTCATTTGGGTTCATAGTGGAACATACGGCTTCAGTAGCACGTCGCCATTCCACTCTGTTCTCTGCAGTCTTTTCAACCTGGCTACACCACTTCCCACAAGCTTTCATTTCTTCCGCATCCCATCCCCTCCATGACACTCTCGGGCGGCCAACTCGTCGTATTCCATTTTGATTCCACTCAAGGGCCTGAGGCATGATGTCTCCGAATAGTGTTCTCAGTGTATGCCCAATCTTTAGCCTTCTACTGGTTATCAAAATCAGTTGATGTTTCTGGATGAAATCTAAATGCTCACCTCTTTGTATTCATAGTGTTTAGGAGCTGAAATTAATTGGACAAGATTTGTGATGCGGAACTAGAGGCGACTAGTATAATAAAAATTTTAAATGCTTTTCCATTCCTGATAAACTCACCAACTATTTAAGATAAAAACTATGACTATGTAAACGGGACTGAAGAAAGAGATGTCCAGTGTGAACTTTTCATATGACATGGTTTTTTGTCCTATAAGCTTTGATATTTGTAATGAAACACTTTTTTGGCAAGATATTTCACTGTAAACATTCATTTAAGAAGAATTGCTGCTTTCATCAGGTGAAAGTTATCCGATCGATGAAGTTCTCCCATTTCTGAGTAAAGAGAAGCTGATTGTGCTCAAGAGAATTTGAAATGATAGAAAAGATTTGTGACTGAGGATAAAGATGATGACAGTTTGGTGTTCTCTGCGCTCTTATATCATTTTGAAAGTATTCACTTAACTCTTGATCATAATTCATAAAAATTATGGATTACAGTCTCAATGATGAAATTATAAAGAAAATAAACGCTTTCAGGTATTCCGAATTCAAGGTTTTTTTATTTGAAGAAGTGTTTAGGTTACTGATATATCTGATAGTAAATGCAGTGGTTCCTCTGAATTATCTAGTATCCATTGATGTGATACAAGGCCGGGTTACGGTTGCCTATGAAGACGCATTACTAATCCTTAGCTACTGCTTCAGTGATATCAGAAAGTAGAACAGTTGGATGATAAGAATTGTTTTATACAAAAATTTAGTTTAAAAAATGTACAAAATATGTGAAATGAAAGAAATATATATTCATAACTACTTGTAAACTTTGTTATTGTTTCCTTGAAGAGTGATTATGTATGACAAATTGACTAATTGGTTAAGGCTTAGATTGGTCTAAGTCCTGATAGCTATATCATTTGTGCATTATTATTATATTATTATTATTAGTCCCTTGGGTTCCTAGTGGAACATAGGGCTTCAGTAGCACGCCTCCAGTGACCTCTGCTCTCTGAGATCTTTTGAACCTGGTTCCACGACAGCCCACAGCCTCTCATTTCCTCCTCGCATGACCTCCTCCATGTCACCCTCGGACGTCCAACTCGTCGCTTCCCATGGGGATTCCACTCGAGGGCCTGACGCGTGATGTCCTCAGTCGGCCTTCTCAGTGCATGGCCAATCCATCTCCACTTCTTCCTGCATATTTGTTGCGTGATAGGTTCTTGGTTGGTTCGTTCCCAGAGTTCCTTCTTGCTTATTTTTGCTGGCCATCTGATCTTCAGCAGCGAGCGTAAGCAGTTGTTGATGAATGTCTGTAGTTTACATTTGTGCATTATTAGAGGATTATTTTCCAGTAAGAAACAGCTTTCAGTACATACGAATCTTATCCATTCATGAATAAAGTTAATTTGTAGTGCAAATTGTTTTTAGTTTCACTCATGAAAACCGAAATATTTACGATGGGATGAGTATTTAATACTTAAAACAGACAGTCTATTTTCACCTCACCTAACTCTTGATTTAGTCTTATCTTGATTTGTTTACAGAGTCTAATGAGTCTTAAAATAAGATGAAACATGCCTTTAACAACATCGTTTTGTCCCTTATCGGTTTCCTTATAATGGACCCTCTTCATTTCTGGTTATCTCTTCAAATCCCTAATGTCTATAGTGGAAGTGGTTACATAATAACTGTTTTAAACTTATAGATACCAATTTTTACTTCCTTTCAGACCCTCCAGGACAGCCTACACTAACCGTAATGCATTCAGTCAACAACAGTGGTGAAGATTACATTATTTTACGCTGTCAACAAAATATTTCAGGTGGGTAACATCAAATGTTTAACAAACTGGAAAGGCACTAGGAAAAGCCCAAAGAAAATACTTAAACAAAACGTTCAAAACAAATGATTAGTCATGCAATTTTATCATAAGGTTTATAAACAGGATAGGCAATAGAGCAATTACATCAGATTAATAAACGCATAATGTTACGCTACATCCCGGATAACTCAGAAACAGTCAACCAATTACTTTATCCGTTTAAAATAGGAGTAGCCGACAGACCAATGAAATCACTACACAGCATATCGTGCAGACCAAAAGAAGATAGGACAAGTGTCATATATAAAATTAACTACAAAGATTATGTACAACGCTATGTTGGCCAGTCTAATCGTTGAATTGCTCAAAGAAATCATGAACACCTACCAGAAGTAAAGCAACATGAAGTGATTTCTTTGGTTTCGATGCTTACAGACAATCATGATCATAGATTCGATTGAAAGAATGTGTAAATCCTCTAGGCAGCAAGTTAGAGAAGTTGCGAGAGAAAATGTGGAAGCATGGAATTCCAATGGAAAGATAATTAAGTGACAGGTGGATATAGACCCAACATACAACCTACGTAGGAAGAAAACTCTCATCCATTAACCTAGGGCAAATTGATCAAACAAATTAATAATAATGTACAGTATGATGTTACCAAGTCTGGTGATGAAACGTTCATGACAAAATATCAAAGAACAGAGGACACCAAACCACCATCATCCTCATCCTGAGCTATGAATCTTTTCCATCATTTCAAAGGCCAAGAACCTTTCGCTATATGATTGCTTTCAGGGCTAATCGGGCTTCAGGTTAATAAAAGGTCTATATTTTGAAATAAAACTCAGAGTACACTCTTAAGGTGATCCACTTTTCTTTTTCTTAAAAATTGTGAATACAATTTAGGCAAGCACATAGAGCCAAATAAATGTAGCGCTTAAAGTTAATTTCACATCTTTGGCTTCACTCTTGGATCCCTCATATGAGGAAGACGTTTGATAGAAAATACCCAGTCTTGAACGACGAACTGGTTGTTTACTCATCTTACTGGGGATAAAAAATAAGCTTTGTATAGGGAGAAGTATTACAAAAGGTACCAGTGGGCTTCAAAACTTCATTTTATTTTTTCCATTCCCTTCAATTTCTTTCATGAGTTTGTTAAGTATATTGAGGGAAATGCTTTGTTATATATATATTATCAACTCCTTTTCAGATTACTCTTAAAAAATGAATTCTTGTTGAAAAGCAGATCTGGATCTTAACGTGTCTTTATAAGCTCTCGGGATGAATACTATGCACCCCTCATGAAACGTATCCCCAAAGATGATAAATGTAACTTAACATCACATTCGGGGCATGCATAAAGTGTGGACTTGTCTAGGTAATTGCCTTTTGTCATAAATTCTAAGGCGCATATTCTTACGTCAAAGTTATTCAATAGTCACGCATAATATGAATGCCTCTGTACATCTAAGAATTTCAATAGACTAGTGCAGGTACGTGAATACTTCCTCCTTCCTGACAACGATTTAGTTCTATCTGAGCTTTAGTGTACTTGGCTAAAATAACTGCTTCAACTTGGGAAACCCGAAAGTCTCACAACCGACAGTTTTAAAAGCTGAAAGAGAACTTCTAGAAACTATCAACCAGATAAAAGTTCAGTTAACATCCAAGTAGATATAGATCTAAACTTACAAACGAAACAGGTATCTATTAAAAAGCAAAGATTGATAACAGTTACAAATAACCAAACAGAATAACAATTCAACAAAAACACTTTCCCTAAATGACCCAGCGAAATCGTGCATTAAAGAGGTCAAATTATAGTAAGGATCTCTTCGTCAACTATCTGTTGAACATCATTTGCAGTCATCAAAATGCTATCTACACATCTGAATCAGAATTTGAATATATCTCACTTCTTATTATTTATCGGTATACTTGTTGTGTATACTCCGTTGTGTTTATTCGGTCGAATTGCTCGACCTCTATTGGTATATGGGCTCCTATGCGGATGCCTCGATATTGCTTAAATATTAACTATGGAGGCATAGTGGATAACGCCTTGGTACTTGAAGTGATGGGTACGGAGTTCGAGTATCATTGGGAACAACATCACTAACTGAAGTGCATGTACATCCGGCTGACGAGTCCCAAATGGGATGAAACGCACGCCCTGGATTCTTTTGCTAGCCAAAACCAAACAAATTACCACATCTCACTTTGTTATGAATTTGGAATCGGAAATGTAGAAAGAACGTGGATATGTTATTACAAGATGTAGACACAGGCAAAGTGTTAGTAAACCGATGCCATTGCCATCGATTCTGAGCCACATACTGTTTTTCTACTATTCACTTGTTTATTGTCAGATATTTATCCTTGCCTCATTTTATAGCCTCATTGCATACCTAATTGAAAAAGTTGATCACCGTCAGAAGGCAGATCTGTTTTCATGTAAAAATCTAAGCGCCAAGATATTTGACTTCAGCATTTTAGACTACTCAGGGCTGTGGATAAGACTTGGTGATGAATATCATTCTCTGAAAAGACAGCTTTTATTTAAAACCTCCTTGGAAACGGAAATTAATTACTTACTCTTTTGATGATCTCTTTTTGATAAATATACTTTAGGCTTAGTGATTTAATTGAAATACTTGGAGAAAAATCTGTTTTTAAAGAAGTATACATTTATTTTATGACTTTGTCTTCAAATCAACTAATGTCAGCGATAATTTACTGATTGTTCAGGATAATCTTTCAAATTTATGGTCAGCTCTGGAAAAAGATTACAGTTCTCATAATCAACTTTATGAATGAAGTTACCTTAACCATTGTATTTGAAGTTGCTAAACAATCAGTTTATAGTGCAATGGGAGTGAGGTTACCATCCAAATGCAGCAATTTTCCACTATACAAAGAATTAGGTTTAAAAATTAGACATACACTCTTCCTTTAGACATCAGGATAATAAAACTACTCTGAAGTGACCGAGTGAATAATAATAGTAACAGTAAAACGCAGTGGGTCACTTAATCTGGATACAAGTGGTGACTGTTCTCCTTCAGAACCTAATACTTTATTGAGCCGAAAAAAATCAAAAGGCAAACACCGGCCTGTGACTGTAAGAAAGACACTTTATTCAAAATAATACATATTTATATAGTGTTTATGAACATATTAAACCACTAGCTCAAAAGTTGAGTAACTTATTTTAGTTGGTCGTCCAATAAGGTTTTTCCTGACCACACAGTAACATGAAATAAAAGTTGTAATCCAAAACTTCTACCTTAGCGGATGATGACTTGAAATGTTGGTTTTCATTTAAGCCACTTCCTATCATACATAAATGAATCTTAAAAGTATGCCTCCAGTCTAACCAAATATCATTTAAATTTGTGTGAATTCTTTTCTTTAAGCTGCTCTTTTAATGCTTTATATTTATACATTGAAGCACCTGGATTACCAAGACCAACATTTCATTGGATTCGATCAGTTGGATTTGATGAAAGACAGGAAATTATAACAAATTACTCAAAATTTGAATATGATGAAAACTCAAACGTATTCACAATTGAATTGTACAATCTAAGTTTGCTAGACTCTGGTATTTATAGCTGTTTTCTTCGCAATGATCTTGGTTCAAGTCAACTAGCATCTGTAAATGTGCTAATCAAAAGTATGTAATAAAAATTTTACGCATTATTATTATTACCCATTAATGACCTAATGTTGAACATTTGGCATCATTTTCTCGATTTGAATATAACCTCCATTGTTCAGCATAGCACCACTCACAAATAAGTCAGAGTAAGTCAGTTCTAATGCATTTTACCAATGTCATTTTCCTTTGCGTCCCGCTGTCCGAAGATAATTGAAATGGATTCTTATCATATTGTTCATACTACCTGTTCGCTGTTAGCAATTATTGTTTTGCTTTTTTCTTTATACCGTTGAGTTGAAGAATGGTTAACTATACACGAATAGGTCACCGGTGGGTAATCCACGTAGCTACCTAGTTCTTAATCGTAGACACTAAGTCTTTAGATCAAGTCTGCAATGTGAACGTGAAGCTGCACTGTGTTTTTTTAATGTTCAGTGTTAGGAGTCAATTTGCAACTGTTAACCTGGGTTTTGTGCTCTTAGCACTCATTAGTATGACATGTCTCCAACCATGAGGGAACTGGTGCTTTTCCACTGATTTAAACCAACATTATTCACTCCTACAGAGGATGAGCCATGATCAGAATAGCTTCATGGTCAAGTTTCTGACGTCAATAGAAAGGGATAAGGATTCAAACCACCCAGGAAACGCCAATTTCCTTACAAACGTAGACACACCTTGCTGATGAATGCCAACAAGTGCAAAACCTAGGTTCGAGGTTTCTTACCGATTGACTTCTAACATCTGACACTATAATGTGGCTATTTTTGAAGCACCGTAATTCATCCTTTTAAAAATGGTAGGTTTGCTAAAGACTCTCTAAAGCACCTAAAATAGGTTCACGATTTTACTAAAATTCGTTACATAAAAAACCTCTTTAATCTTCATTTTCGCCAACTATGATACTATATAGATCGTCTTCCTCACTTCAAGAACATAAGTATAGATAGTTGTCAAACTTAAAGTTTTAACAATCATCTCGAAAACTGATCTAAAGTGAATTGGTTATGCAAACACTCATCAATAAAATGTCGGGTACACTAAAACAATCTACATGAGGGTATATTCTCATTGATGGTGCTGGACAATGATTACGCCATAATATAGACTGATTAATGCTTAATAATATTGTCTACTTGGCTTAGATTTACTTTGCTCACAATAAAATGCTTTCAACTACTTCTGAATGTTCTGTATTTGATCAGGATAGAAGTTTAAGCTTGCTTAATACAGAAAGCATATCAGTTGGCGGTGGTTTACAATTATCCACAAGATATAGTACTAATGCAAGTGAGTAATTGGAGATCAGTTCTACAATTAAATTTCAAGTAATTTGATCTTTGATTGCAGATTCTACTGATCTGATGCTGAGATCATCAGCGATACGAACGACCTGAATTACCTTTAACAGTCAAGTACCAAAATAACCCAGTGTTAAAAACAACAACTAATACTATTTGTGTGGTTCACACTTTGTGACAACCAGGACAGGACGGAGTAAAACCTAATCATAGAACTATGGTGTAGGTCATTTTGGAAATCAGATATTCATCGTTGCTTCTTATAATATTGAAATTACAGAAAGGGTGCCAAGACCGCATTTTTGATATCAGCAACCGTTGGTAAGGATAAATAAACCCTAAATACTTATATTAATTAGTAGTATATGTTGCACAAATTTGAGTTCAGTATTCTTAGTGCCACTAATAACGATAGATAGATAGTTATTTATGGTTTGAATTGAAATATAATTTTTGAATTTAGTTTATAGCTTTTTATATACCGCTTATCTGGAATTATATGCTGTGTTTATAACTCCCATCTGATTCAATCTCCCCATTTATTAATTCATCTAGAAAGCGCTAACATAACGCTACTTATATATCAGATAAATTCAATTACGTGCATATGAAATAAATTATTTTTTGACAAGGCATACAGTCAACTGTAAACAATACTTGTTTGTATGAGGAATGAAAACTCATTTTATAATCTACCTGATTGGTAGTATTATTAACTTGAAGTAGGCACTCATAAGACATTTAAAACATGCATTATCAATAAATGCACAGATAAGTGGTGAAAAACCACTCAAATGATAAAACATCATCAGTCATAATGTAGATACTGATTGATGATTTAAGGTGAAATGAAAACCTGGATTGAGATAGGATTCGAACCACAGACCACTGGGTTCTCTAACCGAGCGTTGTACTAACTGAGCTACAAAACCAAACTACCTAAATCGTTAGAGCACCAGGCTGAAAACCCGGTGGTCGATGGTTCGAATCCTGGTCGCAGCCCAACTTTTCATCTCACCTTCAATCATCACGTCTTCCAAACCAGGGTTATCTCAGATAATCAAGATGATTATGTTGTTGATCGCAAAAAACATTGAAACTATACTCGTAACACAAGAAGTCGTTATCATGAATCAGTGGTCTAGTGGATAACACTCTGGTGTTTGAAGTGATCAGTCCCATGTTTGAGTCCTAGAGGGAACAACATCACTCACCAGGAGGCGGGCACATCCAGCCGACGAGTCCCAAACAGGACGAAACACACGTCCTAGATTCTCCAGCTAGCCAAAATCAAGTAAATTATCATATTAAGTATTCAAGTTACATCAGGACATCTGCATAGAAGCCAATATGCCAATAGAAGTCGAACAACTAGATCCAGTAAAAAAAAAAGAGAATCACAAAAGTATCAACAAAGAGTGAAAAACATTTTCACTACACTTCACAGCAAAGTAATCAACCTAATCGGTCTAAGTAGACAAGCTAATCAGTATAAATTCCAAATGAAAGCAACTTTGTCATCAGTTCATCTTCATTACCCGTTAGACTACTACAGTTGATCAGATAAGCTTAAATAAAAAACATTAGGTGACTATTATCAGTACAGTTATATATTGGTCAATAGACACCTGGCACCATTGGCCTTCAGAGATAGTAGCGATAGAATTTACTGAATAATCTTTTTCTCAAATTATGTTAGTTTAAAGAAGTCTTGTTTTTATTATCTGAACGTTCTGTGTGTTCATAACCACTGAATTATGTCAAGATTTATCAAGAGACAATACAGAAGTAGTGTTTTTTTCTCTTTAGTAGATTTCGGTTATTTATGCAGCTGTCGATTTCATTAAATTATTCTGATGGTTCCAGGTTTGACTAGTTCATTGGATATAATGCGCAGTTTTGATTGTATTGTGTTCTCTGAGCTGGGTTGTTTAGTCGTGAAGCTTTCATCGTCCTTCTAGATGACATCATCAGCACTAACTCCAGTATGAAGTGAGCTGTCAATATCTCTCCGTGAGTGATTTGTTGGCTTGCCCTGACGATGTGGTATGTGATTGGTTGTTTATTCGATTATTTTGTCATTGACTGTATAGACTTTCCTCTTGGTTGTTCCTCTGCTTGACCTCTGACCTTTCTGTCGTTTATCATTCTTCTTATTGGTTGATAGATTGGGTCTCTGTCTATACATCTATTGATTGCTGACTGACCTGAATGCCAAGCTTCTAGGAATTTTCTGACATTTTTTGTGCTTCCTCTGTCCAAGATTTTTACATTGTCGAAATTGAATTTATGTCCATAATTATCCACATGCACTGAAATGAGTGACGAAATGTTGTGACGTTTAATAGCTAATTGGTGCTCATGTTACAGTATTGTTGTCTAGTTTTCGTGTAGTTCTAAGCGTTGATAGGGTTTTATCGATCAGTTTTCCACAATGTGTCATCAAATTAAGCAACTCATTACCAATCTGCACTTTAATTTATGTTAGGTAATGACCACATTGCAAGGTGATCAACAGGATTTAAGCATCAATAGATCAGTGTATATTATTCAGGCCTTAAAGTGGTCAGTATTGACCTGAATAGCTCAGTGTTGATGACTCTGACTGCATAACCAGCTGATGTGATTTCAAATCCTTGAGAAGCCATCAGTTTACTCCTACCTTCAGAAACGTTTCATTGATGCGTCCTAAAAAAAAGGAAGAAATTCTGAATATTTTAGCTTAGGAGTATGATATGAATACTATGAATGTGGTTGTCCCTTAAATTAACTATGTTGTCTCTGTAAGAACAAGCACTCAAGATAAGTGTCTTTCTGTCTTTGTCTATGGCCCTGTGAGTATTTCTTATGTTCAGTCACTGATGCATTTTGTCTTTATCTACAGTTTTTCACCTATAGATCACTTCTGTTGCTACATAATCGGAAATTGTCCTACCTTCCACAGATTTCTAACAGTTTTCGTATTTAAGATATAAATATTTTCCTATTCATTTTCTATCAACTGTGGTAGCTGTTTCTTTTGCCTCTGGTTCAAATCATCTTTTCCTGATTCTTGAAAAGTTTGACTACCTTCATTCTAAACTTTAATATTAAGCTGTATGATATGAAACTGCATATTTACTAAAAATCCTTTTCCCATACACAGCCGGTTACTGAGAAATGTTGAAGCACTTTCAGCAGGTAGATGTATGTTGTATTGATGACTTGAACTGAATATTACAATGTGTTAGCCTTTTTCCCTGTCCTTTCAGATAATTTCCAATGTTAAATGCCATCGGTGTACATAATTAAGTGCTTACTAAAAGGATTAATTACCTTAGCCTAAGTTTCATCTCATAAGAAGTTGAAGTCTTGCTTCACAAAAAACTACCTGTTGATTAATGCATTAAGAAGAAAACCTTAGAGTGATATGGTCCGGACAAACACCTTTCTATATAAGTTAGATGCATTAAAGCATTCGGTAAAAAAGCCAAGATTTAGATTAAATGCTTGTCGACAATCACCATTTCTGTAGCTTTGAAACAAAATTCAAATTTTCATTTCTGTACTGCATTCAAAGATATCATTGACAGGTGACTAGGACCTCAAAGATAGTTGCATAGAACAGGATTTTACGCATGGATTGGTAAATCATACTGTATTCATTTCCAAAATGTTACTGAAAACCTGATAACCAAGGGACATATTGTCGCCCTTTGGCTAATTCACTTCGCCTAGTTCTTATCACTTAGTTCCCTTAATAAATTCAAACAAATATTTACAGAATAAAACAAACATGGTCTACTTCGTAGTTTCGATGCATCTGATAACAGCTTACAACAATAAAAATCATCGATTTGAATGCCTCAACTGTCTGAGATAAGTGTGAAGGTTGGAATTCATACTTCACCAAGGAAATGTGGAGATAGGACAACAGTGAAATAATCAAAATTAGAGTTTTCTTAATGTTTAACGAAAGAGATGGTTCTGCAGTCAGTAAGTAAAGGAAAGGTTTTTAAGGTGTGCGGTTGAGACGGAGTATTACTTGTAACTTAGTTATTACACTGGATAGCTTAATAATAGACTGAAAATAATAATCGAAAATCATTATGGAAACAAACAAAGAGCGAAGACTGAAACAGAGTCAAAACACAGTTACCAGGGGAACGTACAACCACTGGATACATGGTTGTAATCAATCAATCTTTCAAAATAACCTATAGACGTAGAAAAGTAGGGTTACCCAGTAATACCCAGGTAACTGCAATTCAACAATAGTGAGTTGACGTCGGTCTATAGAAAGATGATGTGACAAGCCTTTCGTTATCCAACTAGTGAATGTGAATACATAATGACTCACTTACAAGTAATACTTCATCTCAACCGCACACCTTCAAAACCTTTCCTTTACCTACTGACTGCAGAACCATCTCTTTCGTTAAACATTAAGAAAACTCTAATTTTGATTATTTCACTGTTGTCCTATCTCCACATTTCCTTGGTGAAGTATGAATTCCAACCTTCACACTTATCTCAGACAGTTGAGGTATTCAAATCGATGATTTTTATTGTTTTAAGCTGTTATCAGATGCATCGAAACTACGATGTAGACTATGTTTGTTTTATTCTGCTAGTAATATCTTCATTGGTGTTTTATTCTCTTGATTGGGTGATGAAAGTTAAGTAGCCTAAATTTTGTGCTTTGTAAAACTTATTACTTAAATATCCGACATCGAATAAAGTTTTTCTCAGCTTTGTATGTTTTTACTGAATGGTCACATAGACACTACTTTCTTGAGACGTAAATGAGCACTTGGAAGATGAACAATGCATTGGCTATTATAAGACAAATCTTCTGATGATCTAATCCTACCTTAATGACTATGATTTATCACACCAGGTTATTCAGTGGGAAAAAATTAGCATTCCAATAGGAGTACACATAAGATTGTTTTTGTCTAAATATGAAGGAAGAATAGAAGACCCCCAAAAGTCAACTGACTGACTTGATAAACGTTAAGAACACATCAGAAGAATGAATTAAAAGACTAAAGCAATTTCCTTTTGGTAAGTTGTTACTATTATGAATAATATTTGTAACATTTTTGCATCTAAATGAAGGATAAATTCATGGTACCGTTTCTTTCACTTGTATTTCTAAGCTGGATACATGTTTGTTCAAGAAAATTATTTTAAAATTAACTCAAAAAAGTGTATATGTTGTTTTAGAGCATGAGTAAATTAGACTAAACCAGCCAAATGAGGCTTGCTTTAAGAATATCAAAAAAAGAGATAGAGCAAGGAGTTAATATTCTTAAAAATAGTAAATTTTTTATCCTTTTTGTTCAGACTATCCGTTAACTAGATGAAATTTAATCATTAAGAATAGCTAGTTATATCAGAAGGCTTGAGATAAAAAACTATATATTGAATAGAAATGATTATTTTTGATACTTTCCTTTTGTTTTTCAATCTTTTCTGATATTATTTATTTGTATTAGGTAAACCTATTTTAATAAACAAACCAATTGAAAGGATAACTCTTCAATTTCAGAATTCTAAGCTAATAAAACACAAAATATCTAATGAACATTATGAAATTCAAAATCTATTAAATGTAAATATGGTTGACAATAAAAATATTAGTTGTACATTCATATCAAGTTTATCACCAGAAATTCATTGGTTATATTATAACAATAAAAATTCAATTAGTCTCAATAATATGTTTAGTATAGAAAAGAATATATTAAACTATTGGACAAAAAATCGTATAACAAAGAATAAATTTGGTTTATGGAAAATTGAAACAACTTTAAATTTTCAACAAGTTGATATCATTTTATATATTAAATATACTTTGAATAAAATTTTAAACAAATTGGATAATATATTCCCTAAAAAACTAGAAGTGTATAGCTTGAATTATCAAGTAATCAAACAATTATTAGAATTTATAATAATTCTTCAAATAGAAGGCAATTATCTATGTGAACTGTCCAATTCAATGGGTATTGAACAGGGTTCAACAACTTTAACAATTCAAAGTAGGTTGACCTTCTTTTACTGATAACTGTGTATTATGAATTCTATTTTCAATAGAGTACATTTACACTATTTTATTATTATATTATTATTATATATTATATTATATTATTATATTATATTATTATTATATTATCATATTACATTATTATATTATTATACTACATTATATTATTATTATATTATTCATAATTTAGTGATTTTTTTTCATTAACACCTTTTAATGAGTTGATTCAGTAAATAAATAAGTAGTTCAAAGAAAGAGATCGCCATCAATACGATTATCATAGCATAGAATGGTTTGACCCAATTAGAAATTCAACTTAAATTGGCTTCAATAAAGTGCAACAAAGCAACAGCTTGAAAGATCAATAAAGTCAAGTGGAGATAGAGTTTGCTTACATAATCATTAATCAGAGTTAATACCTAACTCATGTATAAGAATGATCGAAAATTCAAACCGTTAGTGTAAAAAAACTGAGAAGCTATCAGATCGAAGCGTTTGTAAGACTACCCAAATAGAACTCTACCGTCGTATTTAATATTAGATAATAATAAAAGAGAAACAATATCGTGTTGAATGCTACCAAAAAGACTATGCTAATGTCAGATTTTCTAAAAACTGGTTTAATGCCAACAGCTTATCAATACTTCATTAGCCAATATAACGAACAGATTTACCGTGTTTCTTTGTTTATGACTAATTAGTATTCATGATAGCGAAAAACACTGTAAGTGCTTGATTTTTTTTGCATTTCTGATTGGAAATATTCACTACTTGTTTACCAAACGTTTATTCTCTATAATATCAGGTAAACAGAAGCCGAAATTTGCCTTCATTTGATTCTGTCATAAGCGCTAACACTCTGAACTCCATACTACAGATACTAAACATCAGTTTTTTATCTCTCAATTTTATTTATTTTGAATTAGATAAATCGAGACTGTAAATCTGTGAATATTTTAACCATAAAACCCCAGGACTAAGTGTAGAATCAATTCATTCGCTTTCTTCAGAAAAGTCGAAAATGTTTGCCTAAGTAATGGTCATTTCATCGTAATAGATGAAAAGAAAGAACATGTATTTCAGCGATGAGTCTCTTCTCGGTGATTCCGTTTTCATAGCTGTACAATCACAAATTTATACATTTTTCTATTGTGAGGATTTGATAGTTAAAAACTGTTTTTCAAGCATGGCAGGCAACACAAATAGTGACAATAAATGAGCTATCATTAAAATCAAAAAAAACCAAAACCTGATGAATAATGAATATTAATCAAAATAAGTTTGGACAAGAAGTTTCGTAACATGATGACGCAATTGGAAACTGAGTTGTGATCAGGTAGAGTATAGTAACATGAATGAGTAGCAAATTACTTAGTAAGCCAATAGTGTTAAAACAGAAAAATGACGTAAAGCTGACAAGAACGTTAAGTAGATTAATTCACACAAAACCAATTTGTAATGGTCAGTTGACGAACTTCAATAGCTGGGTCCGTGTAAATCGTAAACGAAGACTGATCATATTACATGGCACTTGTATTAGACGAATCTGCAGTTCCGATGGGTTAGGAGATGAAATTTCTGTTTTAATGAACATCCTCATTGAAAACGGATTCACACCACGCTTCATAAACAAGAACATTAAACTTTAACCCCGCAAAGAGAACCTTACCACCTTACCAAAAAAGACACTTTATATGGATCTAAGCTTCAAAGGTGATTCTGCCACTGTCACTCTACAAAGAAGAATATCAAACGCTCTAAGGAGAACATTCTTTACATCGACGCTGTGACTAATATTCTCTTGTTGCCCAACCATATCTAACAACTCAGAGGAGAAACTTTCATATCTGGCCACTTCTATATGCATATATCAATTCACCTAATCTTGTGGAGCCAGGTATATAGGTCGTTCGATGAAACTATTATCTGAAAAGGTTCAAGAGCGTTATCCTGAGTGGCTATAAAGGTAAAACAGTGGATAGATCGAAAGCGCTATTAATGAACACATCGTAAACACGAATCACGCTATCTCAAGAACCTCCTCGTTGAAAGTCATATGTAAGGTGAAAAGAAACATCCCAAAGGCCGTATTTCTTCCTATTCTCTGCATCGCCGAAGCTCTTGCAATCCATATAAGGAGAAACCTGAACTATGTACACAAAAGAAGATTGTTCAACTCCTTTTCCTTTCATGGTCTTAATTTTCAGTCTTCTTCTACACTGGGTTCGATCCCTGGACCCATGCTAGGACATAACAGCTATCCAGTACCACCAGGTCTTCGTGGTTCGCCATATGATGTCAATCTGTGATGAATACTACCTTAAACCGATATAAATTATTTTCATTCAGCCCTTAATTCATTTTAGCGCCCGTTTTGTATTGCCAGTGGATAAGTTTTCCATACAATCACATCATACCATGCAAAAACAGGAAACCGGGAAAAAATAACAACTATTCATCAATGAAGTGTAGTGGTCAGACTAAATGAAGCGAAATACTGCACAAGACTGTGTATAAGAAAACGTAATAGTAATAATAATAATGGTTGTTATTATTATCTGATCATACTATTGTTATTTTCCCTTGGGTTCCTAGTGGAACATACAGCTTCAGTAGCACGCCTCTATTGCACTCTCTTCTCTGCAGTCCTTTCAATTTCGCTACACGACTGCCCGCAAGCTATCATTTCTTCCTCACATGATCTTCTCCATGTCACCCTCAGCTCAGACGCCCAACTCGTCGTTCACCCTTTGGATTCCACTCAACACCCTGGCATGGAGCGGCATGTCCCCAAACCGTCTTCTCAGTGTACGCCCAATCCAATCCATCTCCACTTCCTTCCACTGCATATTTGTTGAATTATAAGTTATTGCTTCGTTGGTTCGTTTCCAGAGTTCCTTGTTGCTTATTCTTTCTGGCCATCTGATATTCAGTGTCAGTATCGAGCCAGCGTAGACAGTTGTTGATGAATGTCTGTAGTTTGTTGGGAGTGCTTTTCGTTGGATGAGCAGAAATCTGCAAACAGTTGTCCATTTTCATTCATTTCATCCAGTGCTTCTCGACCCATAATGAGTTCTCTTCCTGTGTTGTCCGCTCCCAACTGCAGTCTTGTCCAGTGTTGATTGCAGTTGTCTGTAGAATTCCTTCTTCTCCTCTTCATCTGCATTATTTGTTGGCGCGTAGCATTAAATGATTGTGACTTCCCTTCCTTTTGAGTTGAACCTTGCTGTTATGATCCTGGAGGAGATTAGTTTCTACTGTATGACAGCCTTCAATGCTCTTGGAGACATCATGATAGCCACTCGAGAACTCAGTGTGTTCGTGGTTGTCGTCTGGGTAACAATATCGGAGTAGATTATTGACTCCTCTCCAGTCGACAGTGTGGCGTTGTTTCGTCTCTCCTATCCCAGCGAGGAATAAGTTTGTTTTTATGTTTCATATTTTGTTTGTGCTTAGAAGTTTTTGTAGCGGTTGGATTTGTTTTCCGAGATAGGGTTGCTAGCTGTATGCCTAACCTTCCTTCTTTATCCGGGCTTAAAACCGGCTAGTAACTAATGAACTAGTTAACCAGCCGAGGTTATTATCTGATAGTTCACTAATTTACCTTGATGCTGATCTGTCCAGGTTAAGGTCATCGTAGTAACAAAAGCATTCAACAATAACTGTCCAAGTTTAGACACTTTTAATCGATCATCTAATTGGATTAGCTAACTTCTGTCTAACTAACTAGTTAAATTAATCAGTTACTATATAAATATGCTGTAGAGTTGTCACTGATACTATTGAATTACTCTATCAAGCGATAGTGCAATCTAGTGTTCACTGCAGATATTTAGATGATATCAGTAGTAAATTCTAGAGTTCAACTTTGTGTCAGTTACCATCAATAATCCTTACATTATTCAAACCTCAGTTAATAACCATCAGGGTGACTTTATCTCTATACTAACTAAAACGTTGTTAACAAATTTAAAAAATAGATGTAGATTTTCCAGTTGGTTATCTCTAATAAATGTATGTCTTTTTGAAATGTTCATTCATCAATTGCCTAATAAATTATTATTAGTTTCATATCTACTCTTTTACTTCAGAACCGCCAAGTTCACTTATCATTTCTAATGAAATGAAATCATTCTCTATTGATTCGAAAAAGATACACAATTATCATACGAAATTGTATGGTCCACTTTTTTGTCAATTCTATAGTAAACCACTAGTGCATACAGTCAAATGGTGGCGATTTACAAGCTCAAATTACCAAGAATTCAACATTTCCAATAAATGGAAACTGATCTATAAGACTGAAAATTTTAACAACTCTATTCAAATTGAAGTAAGTAACTGAAGTCATTGTTTCTTAGCTTTTTGAGTAGTAGACAAAAATCACCATTAAATATTTGTTATCAAAACATTCAGTTCACGCTAACGATTATGTCTACAATAGTAACAGAATGTCAACCATATGAAATTCATTACAATTTATTCATTTATTACACACCTTGATAGTATTTGGCATATGGAATGATAAATCAGATAACTTGAAATTTCAACCTTTAGGAAGTGATATACCAGATAACGTTGTCAATAATTGTATTTTTAAGTTATTGCTCTTCTCAAATTCTTTTGTTTAAGTTAATCAAAAGCCGATAAATGATGTTTTGTAGTTATGCTGAGGCTATAGACTATTTTCGAACTGAAATATTCTTCACTTATTTTAGTTTATGATGTATGAATAGGAATCTTTAAGTATTTAAGATCATCTTGACAATCTAAATTCACTTTCCAAACATTAGGGTCGAAGACACTGATAGTATCAAATGGAAATGGGATTTCAGTAATAACTAAAGGGTTACCTGAAAATGTTTATATATTGTATTTATGAAAACTTTACTTGAACTCTGAACCTTTATTACAAATGTGTTGATGGTCTTACTAACTGTAAAAAAAGTTCATCAACTGCTCTAACAAATACTTGTTTTCATCAGTAATGTATATTTAGATTAAATTGCCTAATAGGCATATGTTCTGGTCAATCATGAACCCACTTTGGTAATGATGTTCATTTAGATAGTGAGATATGCACAGAGCTCGTGGCTGTTTTAAAGGACCCTGAATTATTTATTGTTCGATTGGTTATTAACATAGCCTCGTGGAAACCTTAAACAAAAATAGACAGTCATATCATTATCATCTTTTTTCAGTTCCAGAAACTGCATTTTCCCTCCTTTGTTAATTACTGCACTGATGAGTGACGGCATTTCGTTGACATCTTGTAAAAAAACTCGTTCATTCATCTAAAAACAACCCATATAGTAAATAAATCAATGTTAATCAAGCTTACATAGTAACATTTAAGATAATCGAAAGTTCAAAAAACCCGTTTGCTAAATCTGCCGACGATTATTGTTCATCCTTTTAAGGAAGATACCACAAGTGGAATGAAATGTGTGCTTACGGAGAATATTTGTAATTCACGGGAAGGATTTTGGTAGTTTCGTGATCTTTGAGTTGAATGATTCGCTTGCAAAACTTTCCTTATCATTCTGGTCAAAATCATCATGACAAACTTCAGATAAGAGTCAGATATGGCGATTTCTCCTCAAGTGGCTTGTCATCAGAATGGCCTAATTAACTGAGATAGGATTGGCTGGATTGACACATCGACGGTAACTCATTCCACTGACCAATGAAAAAGAAAAAAGCAACATTGAATTCAGAGCTCAAGATAACAGAGCAACCAATCAAAATAGGTGTACAGACAATAGCAAAAAAGATAAACAACTTACCCCACTTTAGGTCATTACTACAAATTAAGTAACCACTTTAGAGAAATCCTCACGGATTGCTTCTTCTGAGGTTTTTGCTGATGATTCTCTCTACAGAAAAAAAGTTCCGCGATCAAACTACACAACTGAGAGTTGCAACTCCATTGAAATGGATGCCAGCTGTACATTTTCGGCTTAGTAAGCCAAGTAATATGATGTGAGTAAGGTTGCTTTAAACCACTGATTAGGAAGCTGTATATCCACCGTGCGTGATTTGGGGGCTATTTAGACTGAATGCTTACAGATTACACAGTCGGAAGTGGGAAAACAAAAATATGGTGAAACCCTAATGCAAAATTTCATTGCAGTCCCCTTTGGAAGTCAAAATATTGTGACGACAATGAATAATCCCCTTGACACCATAGACACCGTCAAAACTGAGCGCTGGGATATATGTAACACTGAGTTCTTTGAGTGTTTACAGACACTTAGCTTCAATCAGAAGTACTCAGTAACTAGATCAAGCTAAACTAAAGACCAGTTGACTGTGGGCGGTTTAAATAACTTGAATTTCTCAACTGTATACACCAATGATATGCTAGACCACTAAGGTAGTGGTTAATTACTGTGGATGCCGTTAGTGATTAACAGCCTTCCATTTCGACTATATTCTGAGGTAACTGAAACTAATTCCATCTCGACCTACTATTCAGTTCATCTTTAGTCATCATCTAGTATCGAATGACAGGAAATAATTCAGTGCAGGAAACATTCACAGCGGACGTAGGCTCTTATGACGAATAAAACGGTGCTTTTAAATGAAGACAAATATCTTGAGGGTTCCGATATCACTAAAAATGAAGCTCAAATTCATATCAGCATCAAATGCACTGAGTAAATCAGCGAAGACCGTTTTTATTTCCAGTATACTTTGACGTACTTATATATTTTGTAAGTAGTTAAAATGTATGAAACAAATTTAAAACCTCCACTTCGTTTTTTGTCCAAGGAAACATCTACTGCATTAATTATTACAGGAAAGCCAGCAATAATTCATCCATCAGTATCCAACTTCAACGCACAAGAAGAACAGTCAATTTATGGAACTCTTCGTCACTATTTACAGAATGCTGACCACAAATTTACAATATTTACAATGCTGTGGTTGACAGAACTGAATGATAACGATTATGGATACTATAAATGCGAATCAGAAAGTACATTAGGCAGTGTTTCTGAAATACGTCAATTTCAAGAACCAAGTAGGTTTAATACTCATGTATTATCCAGTATCTACTCACTATCTAAGTTTTCTAAGGGTAAGGAGAATCAAATAGCATCTGAACACAAGCTTACCAAGGTTTGCGTAACATGATACCTTTAGACTGTTCATTACCTGTGATACAATCTAATTAAAGGTCCTTAACAGTGAAATCCAAGACTTGAGGTTTGTCCTACTTGAGACTAGTCACATGGACGTTTAGACGTCCCATTAATTTATATTGTTCCCACTGAAACTCAAACCGAGTATCCATCGCTTCAGTACTTGAACTTTCTGGTTTACTAACTTCCAACATCTACTTTCTGTCCTAAAGGTATCAGTAGTTACCGAAGCATCTACATGTCAACAGAGACTAATCACTTTCGTCCAGTATAACAATCAGCAGGAAAGTATAGGCATCAAGAGAAGTAGAATATATTGACTGATCATATTTTTAAACTACTGAAAGGAAATACTGTCAAAGAGACAAAGTTTGTTCCATAAGTTTTTGATCATCTCATTCAACAGGGAGAAACTACGCCTCTGTCATCAAGCAGTAAGCACAGTAGATCTGAGAGTATGTGGACTGAGATTGAAATAAAAGATTCTGAAATTCAACGTAAACCCATGCAGACCATCTCATTTTCATATGAATATATTGGTTATGAGAAGTCAGATTTAGAAATTAGCGTACTGATAACAGACTAGAGTGGAACAGAATAGTCATTAAGAACAGGAACACAACTGAATAAGACTTAACTCAGTACCACGTCAATTATCTATGAATTCCGATAACTTCATCTTTACCCATAGTTGGGGATTGAAGTCAGTCATATAAATAGTATTTTTAAGTAATTGTGAAGATATCTGAATCTAACACAAAACTCACCTCCCCCTCCTCCTCGTCCTCCTCTTGATTATTAAACGAACTGAAAATTAGCAACCCTAATGTCATACTATAAGTTTCACGATAGAAGATAGATAAGTTTAATGAAAAAACAAGTAGTTTTTCAAAGATTATTCTTACAATAAATGGATTTTAAAACGCCTATTTGAAATCCATACGAAAAGTGTGTTCAGTTAAATCCTCTAGAAAATGCATGAATATTGCTTAACAGTAAACAAACGGAAAATTGTCTAGTTAACACAGTCAGTATTTTAGACATGCAGAAACAAATATATTTGTAGTCACAAGATGAAACTATAGGAAGTTCAGTGCTGACCTCGATTTGAAGACTTATAAAACGGCAGTACAATACGTGATAGGGAAGGTGTGCAACATTATTCAAGATATGTAGCCTGGGATAAGGATGATAATTTCCTTGTGTCCTCTAAGCCTCAGCGTTTCTTCTTGTGAGTTTCATTATCAGGCTGAGTGACTTCATCAGCATTTGCTTCACAAAGAATATGTCTTCATATGCTCTTACTTTTGAATAGAACAGGTAATGATAAACAGAATGAAAACCATATGAATACAATAACAAAAACAGAAGCCTTATTTAGTGTTATGAACTTAATAACATTGACAAGATTAATCACGATAATGATGAAAACCAATAGGTTATGAGATAAGGGTGTGTTACGTAACAGAGTTGCTTTACAGCTACTGCACAGCGATGGTCACATATCCATGGCTGTAAAGTGAGAAGAGTACATTATCCAAGTAGCTCTCTGTACAAAAACTGCTCACGGTTTACTTACACTGTTGGTTTTAGTTGGTACAGATTATACATACATTTATGAACGAAATGCTGAGTAAGATTTCCTGTTTCATCGGTTCTGAATACTTCAAGAAACTATATCATATTAAAATGAATCGATTACTTACCATCTTTGCTACCACCAGGTGATAGAATGGTTCACATTATTGCAGTTTCTGTTCCATCTGTTACTGCTAAAATCCAACTATTCGAACCTGAGAGCAGCCTACGATCAGAAAGTTAAGTGTGATCTGACCAGGTTTAACAACTTCTGTACAGTGACAATGCTTATGTGAGTCATTTGCAGACTAGAGTCATGTCCCAAAGATATCAAAACACAATCGCCACAATATATTCACGGTGCTGTTTGAATCACAATTATAAAATAAGCAACAGAAATTGATTTTGGTGACTAACAGAGGGATCAAGGACGCACGTTTCGTCCTATTTGGGACTCGACAGTCAGATGTACCTGCACCCAAGGAATTGACGTCAGCGATGCAGTTTAAGTGCATTCCGTTTTACAATCAGTTTAATTTGATCAGAAGATACCTCAGAAGGAGTAGAAATATCTCTAATAAAAGGAGATCAATCAACTGTTTGCTGGGACCAAACCAAACGGTAGAGTGCTTCCAGGAGATAGCTTATGTCGAGTTATAACAAGGGCTTCACGCGGTAACAAGCCTGATGTAAGCAACTGAGCATGAAGCATACTGCCTTAAAATCAGTCAGTCCCCTCCTAAACCTTTGAATGAAGCTAAGGGAAAACATTGAGCGCACATTTGAGGGGTGCAGCACAAAAATATATTCAGCTGACAGATTATATTCATATTAAAAGACTTTTGTCAGGCACGAAGGAAAGACTTTCTAAATATATTCTACATTATCTTTTGCCTTATCATTGTCTTATTAAAATTCTTTTAAAGATGTACCGCAACCTATCTCTGAAATTTATCATATTCATTCCACATGGACATCGGCAACTTTATCCTGGAAGCCCGGCTATCATGGGACAGAACTGGATTTACCATATCAGCATATATTCAACAAATCGGCCAGTCACACTTACTCAGCAATTCAAAACTTGTTATCAGTTTGGATTGAAAAAGCTCAGAATGCGCAAAAATATCTTATTGAATTGGAGGATCATGGAGTAATTAACGTATTACCGAATGAGGCAAACTCAAATTTACACGAATTTTTCAAACCAGTGAATCAATCACATGTCGTCCCTAACCCGTCATCACTATACATAAGTAAAAATGTACTGTCATATAGTAGTGAAAATAGGAGACATATCAAGAGGAAAACGGTCAAAACCCGATTTCTTATAAACGTGGAAGGCCAAGTTGGGATTAATATCAGTGGTAAGAAGTGTTTATATAAAACTCCGCTTATCAGTGCCTTCAATATTCTGTGTTAAACTTTGCCTACTTTAAGTTATTCAGTAGTTTCAAAAAATAAGTGAAAGTTTGACCTAAACTGGTACTACCAATTTGATGCTTACGTCATATCTTTCGTAATAAACGTGAAAGCATAAAAGTTGTGTTAAATTTTGGGTCTCTCAAACCCAATAATGAACTGGATTGGGTAGAAGTTAAACTGCCTGACAGCGCTTAGCACCAAAAGTGTTAAAATATCATATGTATATCATATGAAGGCTTCACTTTCAGAATAACGTTTTGAGTAGAAGTTGTTGATTATATATAAAGAAACGTATACTGACAACTTTTTGGATTTGGTTTCATAATTCTTTTGATTTCGATCCTTTGATTTTGTCTGTGGCGACATTTTCCACAGGATCTGGATTCTTGTTGCGTCTTTCCTGCTAAACGTGTTAGGTTTCGATCCAAAGCTTCAGATTTAATCAATCCCTCCGTCTATGTTTGACATAAGGTAGACTAAGCAGTAATTCTTTACTGTGTAAACTTCCTTTCAACCAAAATACATATTAAGTTGCCGACCGAATGTGACATATTCAAACATGATTAGTAGAAAGCAGTTTTGCACTACATGATTTAATTAGATAATGAATTCATGTGTCTTTTGTCAATTGCACTTACTTGCAAGAATTTTTTTATAGATATTCGACTAGCTAATGCGTGAAAAACAACATACTGTGGTTTTAGTTGACCATCTCTACATATGGTTGTTTATAACTCCATATCTGATGATGAAGACAATTGGCTGAACATAATAACATTCCTAGCTACTTAGTGTATAGAAGGGTAATTCCACTAGAAAGGACAAAATAATTAGCAAAAAAATACATCTAAAGAAGATCATTGACATTGCCACTAGAATATTATGCACAAGTTATATCATTATTAAAGAGTCTCTTGTGTTAAGGGATTCTTTGTTTCATGTACATAACTGATAGTGGTATAAATCAATAGTTTCGTAAAAGAAAATAGATAGACAACAGTTACAGATCAGTCTACAGTCAATAGACATGATTTTTTAGATGTAGCTAGTATTGTTACGTTTGTGTAACATTGGTAATCCTGTTTACAGGGTATAGCTTGCCGTTATTCAATTACGCTTTGGCCATGAAAATGAAGTTTAAAAAAACTAATGCAGATAATGGAGACAGTAGACTTTATTTGTAACGAACTCACGAAGCATGGCATGGAAATAGGTATTCTAGTCTCCACATTGAAAGAACTACTTCTGAGGTATACGATGAACACACAATTTCTTTAAAATAATGAACTCTACCGACAATCTGATAGTGTTTCTAAGGCGTCACCCCTTGGCCCACTCTTAGCAGATTTTTTTCTGGCAAAAACTTGAGAATGGTCCACTGAACGACACTATTAGCCGTTTAGAGTTATATTGTCGTTACATGGATGATACCTTTAAAGTTCTCAAAAGTGAGACTGATAAGAATGCTGTTCTGAATAAGTTCAATAGTGATCACCCAGCAATCAGCTTCACAATGGAAGACAAGAAAAATGACAGTATCCCATTTCCTGGTGTTCTGTTGGTAAGAAGGTCAGAGGGAACCCTGAAGCGAAGTGTTTATAGAAAGCCAACATCAACAAATCAATATACACACTTCTTTAGTGCTGTACCCCTCCAATACAAAAGGAACCTAGTGAAATGCTTAGCATACCGTGCCTCAGCTATTTGCTCAGAGGATACTATAAAGGAAGAGTGAGCCACCATCCGTGATCTGCTTAGTAGGAATGGTCACCTAGACAAGTTTGTAACTAAGCACATGAATATTACGAGGGTTAAGAAGACAATGCCAACAGTTCCTAAGAAGCAAGTCTTCTTGAAGCTGCAATTTAAGAGTGATATTGCCAGTGAGATCATCACACAATGCATAAAAAGAGTCTTGCATAAAGCATTCCCAGCCACTAAATTATGTCCCGCCTTCTATAGCCGCCCGATTCTAGGAGCAAGAAATAAAGACAAACTGCCTGATTCTGCCACTTCTATGTGCATTTATCAATTCAACTGCTCCTGTGGAGCGAGTTACATTGGGCGTACAATGAGGCAGTTCCATTGTCGAATTTCTGAGCACCACTTATCACGTTGAACGAGGGACAAATTAGAACTATAAAGAGCTCCATACTTGCACACTTAGTTGACACAGGACATCAGGTGGTTGCTAGAAAAGCCTTCAAAATCATCCATCAGATTCCAATTAATTTACATCATGGATTACGCACTCGGTTACTTCACATAGAAGAGGTGATTGCAATCGACCTTCACAAACCTAGCCTCTGTTTCCAAAAGAAGTTTGTTCGACCACTTTCATTAACATAGCCGTTAACATGATGTAACTTTGTACACTTCTTCCCTTTCTTGTTTCTATCACTATTCACATTTCCAATTTTAGTAATTCTGTTGATTATTTACATCATTATTTCCGAAACGTCACCACGTGATTGGTAATTTGATTAAATTGTAAAACTATATATTAATGTAGAGCCCAAGATGAAGACTTAATTGAAAAGGAATATATTTCTTCATTCAATCAGTCTTTGACGTACACTGGTACAGATTAAGAAATCGAACATAAAAGTAATCTTTAAACATAAGCATTTATAAAGTTGAAATCTAATGAGTTTGCTTCAATAACTCCAAAACAGAACTAATACAAGTTGAATAAACTAGTCAATCTCAAAAAAAACTGCAAAAACAAAAAAATAATTTGCCTTATTGACAAAAAAAACTGACAGAAATGAAAAATATCTTCATATTTCCAGAGAAAAACGGGTATGAAGTAGTCCTTAAAATCTTTTGACAGTGAGACCAGTGTCAAAGAGTTAGTGACTTAGAAAAGTTTAAAAGTATGATCAAAAATCATTGAAGAGGAGATAAAAACGTGCTTGAAAGAACTGTTTGATTTGACATGAAGTTAAACATAAGTGAATGGGTAAAGAGGATTGGTTGTATCAACGACAATGTTCATCACGAAGTCATACTAAATGAATCATTACCTGAGGCTAATCATTCCTATTAGCTACTAGAGAATTCGATAATAACAGGAAAAATTCTGTCTAGTTATATCTGGTTGGCTTTTTGACTCTAAAACCTTCTTCATCTTATGTAGAATGGCGATGAATCAAAAGTATTCATCACATAACAAAAATTTATTTTCTACCTCATCTGGAGGCTTCGATATCTCCACGTTCTCACACCCTTAACCAGGTATTTATTAAATGTAACCAAATTCATGTACATATAAGTTTTATATCTAGTTCAAAGTGGACAAAGTCATTTTGAACCCATCACTTAGTGAATGAGGTAAGGTATTCTAACAAACGAACAGGACAAATGATCTTTCCACATCAAAACCAGGTATTCAGATGATATCTTGTTTATGCTTTTATATGAACATCAGACAAGAAAGTGCTAGCTCACTGCCGGTTATCAGTCTAATACTCGTGGTTTACAGATTTGATGAAGTAATCATTCTATTTATACTGCGAAAAACTTTCTGCTAAATGTAAAAGATCACGAACTTTCATGTCCATGAGTCAACGATCCAATCCAATTCACTTATGAGGTAGAAAATGAAAGGGGAAAATTAGGTATGTTGGAATGCAGAATTAAACAAAGAACAGATGGTGGTTAAGATACTACCGTCTACAGGAAATCACATTTCAACAAGCATGCAGCCTTCAAGTCATCTCATCTAATGTCAGTCAAGTTGGGTTTCGTCAAATGTGTAAATGATAGAATTAGAAAACTGAGTGGTCAGTGTAGGGGCTTAGACAAGATATTAAAACATATAAGAGAAGCATTAATAATAAATAATTATCCTCCATAGTCTGCTAAGAAATTCATAGGAAAACATAATGAACAAAATCATAACAGTAATACGAATACAAATAATGGTGACAACACGAGTAGAACTAGGTTCAAAGCCTCGATTATGTTACCATATAAAGAAAGAACATCAGAAACTTTACGTAGGATTGCCACGAAGGCTGGAATTAGGGTGGCACTTAAACCTACAAACTCACAGATAAGCCTTGCTGGCTTAGCAGTCCGATAGATCCAATTCAGTAAAATAATCTAATCTATCGAATTCTATGGAATGACTGTGAGGTCAAGTACATAGGTGAAACTAGACAGTCGTGGTCAGTTAGATTACGGGAACATAGGAATTTAGCTAAATATAGAATTTCAAGTAGTTATTCATCGTAGACTGACATCAGTTGGAAGAACAAAGGAAACCTGGAAGCACTGGACAGCTGTTTCGTCCTAGTATGGGACTCCTCAGCAGTGCGCACCCACGACCCCACACCGGCAGGGGTCGAACCCGCGACCTTCAGGCTCCGCGGCCAGCGCGCTACCATTGAGCCACTGGGTCAGAATCCAGTGCTCCATATTTCCAACTTCTGTTAGCTCATGATATAGCGCAACCGCTACCCAATGTCATCGTTGAGTAACTGTCCTCATGGCCATCAGGCTTTGACTCCATCGGTTACTCCACAACTCCCTCAAAATTTAATTGAACTGGTGCTCATTGGTGACTAGCTTCGAGAAGTATTCCCGAAGTTCCAATGACAAGTCGTGACCGGTGGGGGCAAAGCCTGATGGTCATAAGGACAGTTACTCAACGATGACATTGGGTAGCGGTTGCGCTATATCATGAGCTAACAGAAGTTGGAAATATGGAGCACTGGATTCTGACCCAGTGGCTCAATGGTAGCGCGCTGGCCGCGGAGCCTGAAGGTCGCGGGTTCGATCCCTGCTGGTGGGGTCGTGGGTGCGCACTGCTGAGGAGTCCCATACTAGGACGAAACAGCTGTCCAGTGCTCCCAGGTTTCCTTTGTTCTTCCAACTGATGTCAGTCTACGATGAATAACAACCTGAAATATTTCCAAATCTCCACAACTCCCTCAAAATTTAAATACAGAATGACAGACACCAATAAGATTAATAACGTAGAAAAACGCCCAACTGTTAGAATGCATTCATTAACACACAACCACACAATAAGGTGGGTGGGATAAAACCACTGTACTTAAGTCAGTGGACAGAAGGGGACAGAGGGAGAGAGAGAAACATTGATAACTGAAGCCTTTTTCTCAAATGTATACCAAACACGTGGTAGAAATGAGGCAACACCTATACCAGAGATATAGTAAACTTTACTACTACTTTACTAATATGAGGTGAAATAACTATAAAAATCAAATGTCGAAAGTTGTGTGGTTCCATTGATATGATTATGACTGTGCGCTGTATGTCAAATGAACAAATCTAATATGGAATTACATTCTACCAGAGTGTGCAAATCTTTCACTTACAGCAGTCAACGAAACGAATCTCTCCACTTGACTAAGCGTGTATCTCTTTTCTTTCATAGTACTAAAAAAACCTTCCCTATTGATCAAAAACCTATATTGTCACTTATTTTCCTTATTTCTTAATTAGGTCTTATGTCAAATCACGTGTATACAGTAACAGTCTCAGGAATCAATCAATATGGACAGAGTAAATCATCTAACCCGTTAACTTTTAGAACAAAATGTGAGTCCAATAAATTGTTATGCTACTTTTCTGGTGTAAGTGAACAGTTGCAAATTGATAGTAACTTTGTGTACTTACAACTATTTTTAATCAAACTTGAAGGCATAAAGCTGGATCGTTGTAGTTTGGTACCCTTTGGCAGTGCACACCCATGACTGTACAAGGGGCTAATCCCAAGACCAGTATGTTACCGTGCACTAGTAAACTATTTTCCGTTTCCACCGATTCGTGATATAGTGTGACCATTATCCAACTCCACTTCACTACAAAAATTGGTTCACCCCATAGGAGTCACGAATAAGGCTGAAACATCAGTCTAGTACTCCCAGCTTTCAGAGGTTCACCAGTTGATTTCAATCAGCGTTGAAAATTACTTACGTACAGCTATGTGCTGCACACCAAGTACACGTGTGTTTAAAGTGGATGTGACCTAATTTCTTGCCTATTTGAATAAAATACTTATCTTCAAGTATACTGTCTGGATTAGTTTAGGGAATTTCAGGTAGTTAGATAGTGTGTGAGTGAGTAACAGATTCGAGTCTCCCACCATCTTACATTACACTACACAAACCAACTGAAGCGATGGGTGTGACTTATTGTCTAGCAAATAACTATAGTAATTCAGTCGGATTTTTTGACTACTTTCTATATTTTTGCCTCTACATCCTTTCTGTCGTGCATAAAACTAGTGGAGTTTTGATATCCACTCTCTGTATTCTTCATGGTTTCTGTTATTTTGATCCAACGGTATATGAGATAGTTTTAGACAAATGTTGAAAGGAACAGAAGTCCTCTGAGGGTAAGTGGTATTGAAATGGTCTATTTTTGCTCACTGCAGGGTTCATTTCAACAGTCATAAGATTAGATAATGTCTCTCTTAATGTCTTAAATTTGATATCGTTATGCTTACGGGTTGTTACGTGATCACAGTTGTAGCAAGCAGTCACTATTTCATGATTTCTCGGCTAGGTTTCTGATTGTATTACTTCAATGTATTTTCCTCTGTCTTACCTTTACACTAATAAGACTACAAATAAATTTTCAGCTTCTTGTAGGAGGTTAAGTAGTTTTCTGCGAAATCCACACTCCACCCCGTTTAAATTGCAGTCAGTGGATGCGTAGGCGGAATCTTCAAAACGAGGATAGTGTTTATCATGATCCATCTTAATTTTTGCAATATTTTTCAATCGACCACCTAACACGCGAATGAGTTTCAGATTAAAATAGCGCCTTTTCTCCCCAGACTTAATGTCATGGTAACTCCTTCAAGACTGTGGTATCCAACCTTCGAATTCCCAGACTAATAAAGAGTAAATCTTATACACTCTCCACATTGGTCAGGTGGTGTCATATAAAAAATTACACTTAGACTATCTCCATGCTTCAGAAACATAGAATGCATCCATTATGTCGGGTACCAAAGTTTCACTTAGCTCCTGTTCTCGCCTCACTTTAAATAGAGTGCAGATAAAGAATGGTTCAACATTTAGTTTTGGGTACAGTTCCGTTGGATCAAGGATCCTATTTTGCGCAACTGAAATATTAGTAAAAGCTATTGAGAAGTAGTCAATTGAAAATAGGAATGACCTTATTAGCAAGAAAAGGCGAAGAAAACTGAGATGACACCGAAAGAGGTTAGCAAAGATTGAAAGATATTGAGTAGGAGGGTAATTGACACTTTCTAGTCACCCATACTAAGAAATGCCACTTTCTTCAGAATTACGTGAAAGAGAAAGTAAAATGGTTCTGCATAGCCCCGGAGTCCAAGAAATGTTTCACTCAGGCTGGTCGCACGTGATCCATTTAAGAAGTTTACGTTCACAGAGTTGCCACAATAATTAAGGTATCATAGCACCAACGGTTAATTCCATAGTTTTTTGAAGCGACATTTTATAGCTCCTACTTCCTGGAATAAGAATACAAGACCGCTAGAATGCAAGTCATAAAAAAGTTAACAATATATGAGATTTTCAGGCATACTGATGAACAGAAGAGTAGCCCAAAGTATACTTGGAAACGCCTACAGAAAATATAAATTAACAATGATTTATAATTAATGTTGAATTATACAATGTTTTGATTTTTTATCTGCAAGGATGAGCTTCAAAAATATGCACTGAAGTTTCATTTCTTCCTAGATAAAAAATTTCAGCATAATGAGGCTTACCTGAATGGTCAACATGTACATATAACTGAACAATGTCATCATAAACGTTATCTATTGTTAGCTAAAGTTTATCGTCTCTGTTTTGTGGTAGACAAGCATCTACAGACGTACTCACTGACCAATGAATTGAGTATGTTTTGAATTCTTTAAACATGGTTATTTTCATCTCTGAATACTCAAACATAAGCACTAATACTTATAGAGTTAGACCGCCAATAACCTAATGACTTTAAAAGATCAAGAGCAGATATTGTAACAAAATAATAATATGAACCCATCATTTTTATTTCGGCAGTCTTCTTCAGCTGTTTGCACCTTATAATATTTGCAATAGCAAACTACAATGACATATTGACATATTTCAGTAAGGTGAGATCAGAAGAAATAGTTATGATGAAATGATTCCGCAATATTCTTCTGTAATGTTGGTCCTTACTGTTTTAAAATTGACAAAGGGAAATATGTGTATGAAACACTTAAAGGTTACCAATGAAGCCAATATTAATCTTACACCAGAAATGTACTATGACTTTTCGCTATAAAACCATAGAAATCATGTTGGATACACTTATTGACAAGTAGATGATAATGTATTCGGTTTATTCTGTCTACTTCTAAAAACTTCAACCAGTTTTGTGTTGTTATTGTTTTTGTTGTTGTCGTCACACTCCTACACACGATAATTATACATTCATATTTTTCCTTTCTACCTAAGTCTTAAGCCCTGAAATACCCGGAAGTATACAACTAGAAGAATCTAAAGAACTAATCAGATTTTCAAAAGGTAATCCAGCAATCTGTGCTCAAGTTGCAATCAATAATGATGACGATAGTGAAAATGCCTGGGATACCATACACTTTTCATTAAACTATACACCAATAATTATAATCAATGAGAAAATATTTCATCCTGAAGCTAAAGAGAAATATGTGGAGTTGGTTAACTGTAAACCATTATCTTGGAATCATTTTACAGAAATACAAGTTAGAATAGAACAAAAAGTTCATTATCGTGCAAGATATTGTATTTATGGTCATAGTACATTGTGTACAGAATATATACAACCTGTTAAAGGTAAGTTATGGCTATTCTAGAAGACAAACAATCTAAAATTCTAATTTAAACAATATTATGTAAGAGTGGTAGCAACCATGAATGAGGTTGATAAGAAACCCGGTAGTGAAGAAATATAGCCTAAAAACACCTTTAGATCAACAATCGGATGACTTATCAGTTGGTTTATTAGGATTCCCGTTTTTTTCATTTATCAGAAAGCTTTGCTGAATATTTAGAGATGAAACGAATAATAAATAATAGTTGATTGTTTATGCTACTCTACATGTCTAGTTGTGATGAACTCCACACTGAATGTGACTATGGACTGTAATTCAGTATGATCTCTTACTTTAGATGCATCACAAAATTTATTGCTTGTAATCATATCAAGGTAATCTCATGACTTTCTAGCTTAATCTAGTAGTTCTTTCAATTTTTATTCTTCAATTTTAACTCCACTTACGGCGAATTCAATTTCCAGGTTTTTGGGGATTTATTCATTGATTTCGGGTTGAAATTCAGCGTGGACTTACATCAGTTGGGGAAACATTGGAAACCTGCAAGCATTGGATAACTGTTTCTTCCCAGTATGGGACTCCTTAGTAGCGTATATCCATGACCCAGCCAGGGATCAAACACAGGACCTGTGTTCCATCCTTGGCGAGGTCGTGGTTGCGCACACTAAGATGCAACACCTCTCCAGTGCTCCCAGGTTTACAATGTTTCTTCAGCTGATCCCATTCCATGATGAATACTAACCTGTTATCTTGAATTCTTGTTACTTTATTCCCACCACATATGTAAGGTGTCGATTCGATAAATAAAGCTTCAATTTTCAATCTCTCCTTCCACCCACCTAAGTTATTATTTTTAAAACTCTCACCCATTCCATAGTATTGGATAACAGTGTTTTTAACAGTATACATGGTCTTTACAGAACCCTTTCCTTAACATCTTATATTGCTACGCTCTACTAGTTTACATTTAGCTCTTTCTGTGTTCTGCCAACTTCACTGGCTCCAGTTTGCTAGTTTGACCTGTGCACTTGAACACTTAGTAATCACATAGAACTTGATAGAACTGTTTCTTGTAATACGTTGGACGGGATCCTGTAGTCGACAAAGTCTGACTCTGAACAAATTAGTAGGTTTAAGTGCCACTGTAATCCCGACCTTATTAGAAAGCCTATGTAGAGCTTCAAATGTTCCTTCATATGATCACATTGTGGAGGTTCCATAAGGTTTCGCCATATTCTTATTATCACCACTCTTATTCTTGACGCTTTTGTTTATAATTGCGTCATTAAAAATACTTTTGCGACTATTCACGTGTTTCTAGATAAATACATCGGGGCATTTGTTGAAGAATAGTAGTTATTTCGTACGTCACATTTCTTGACATACATTTTCAAATTTTCTGGTAACTCTTCCTTCATACCTTATCATTTAGTTATTTCATCAAGCTTAAGTGATAACAAACAAGATGGCTTGAAGTCCCTGGAACAACCAGAATCCCAGTGCCTTTTATAGAAACTACCATCTAAACCTCCGTCTTCCCTACGTTTCATTTTACAATCTAGCATAATTGACTGTGCTTTATCACTGTCAAATTCATATGCGAATTCTACCATATCGACGGCTGCATTCAAGTTTGCAAGAAATCCGTTGGTGTTTTCCATGTTCAAAAGTGTCTTTGTCCCATGTACATACTCCCATGGGCAACATGATCCGAACTTGATAGTTGGATGGAGGTGATCGGGAACAGGAAGCCCTGGACCTAAGTTTCATGCTTTTTAGCAGTCATCAGCCAGGCGAATCTGGCACCTCAGTGGCATTTTGAATTCAAACCTGAGTCAATCAGTGATACAGTTAGATACTCTTCCATTGAGCTATTTGGGCAGTGACTTACCTCCTGTAGAACTGGACTAAGTACATTGATTGGTCACTGAAAGGTGACCACCTTCACATGTTGTCTATTCCTAAGTGTTGATCAAATTCTGTCGATCGCTTTGTGACGTGGTTTCTATTTTAAGAGGATATATCACTTCCATTGAAGTTCCAGATGTCCCTTGCTAACAAGTAACAAAAAAGATAAAACCTAGGTCTAGTAGAACTTCCTGCTGATTGCCTTCAACCAGATAAAATCTTTCCTAGTGCATTGTGATGGTAAGTTTTCCTACATCATAGTCACATTACGAAATGATAGATATAATTCGATCAGCACTTAGGATTAGAACAACATTAAATTGGTTACCCTCTATTAACCAATCAACGTACATTCCGAACTGTCCTCCGCGAATACATCTGGTGAAATCGAAGATATTACTGAAATCATGGTTACTTCCTATATTTGTCTCCGACTTTTATTCTGAAACTTGAAAACTGCAAAACACGAACTTAATTGTACTTCCCGAATAATTAGCCGTACTGGTAATTTGATTTTAAAAATCAGCTCATTTCTTACCGCATTAAAAGCCATATACATTAAGATATTGATGATCTGGGTTAGGAACAAACGAAACGGCTGTCCATTGTTTACATCACCTTGATGTAGTTAGCAATCACAGTTGATCGATATGAGGGATCTTGAACTACTCATTTCAGTCGGTAGTGTATTTCGTGAATTGCCTAGCAGTTTGCTAACATGTGTTTTTGTAATTAAACGTTAGACAGATTAATACTTACCAAATTCATTATTATGGATTAGAAAAGGCAATAAATCTGAGTATATTCAAAATATACTGATAATTCATGGATGTTAGATTAAAACAGAAGAAGAAAGATATTTAGACACTAAAATGGTGATGAAAAGTTAAACTACAGATTTGCAAACATTGCACACTCACACAAAGAAACATTCCGTATAATCATATGCACTTTATTGTAGCCGTTTCTCACTGATTTATGCAAGATTCAAGGTAATATAGGGCCCTTTTTGAACACACCTCTGATTTCATTATCTCAATGGTGATTGCCTCACCTGTTTGTGGAAGATGAAGTCCCACCGCCTTTGACAGATAACTAATTTCTCTATGAATTACTGAGAAGGATGATTTACTTGCAACAGTATGACCAACATAGAATATATGTGACTAGATAGTGCTAGTGCACTTTGCTTCAGCCTCCATCAAATAAATTAGCAGATATTGAATACTTTAAAGATAAGGTTGTAACAGATAACTTAGTCTTCGAGAACAGTTGAATTAATAGATGAACATTGATTTGGATATATGATGAAACCCCCTTTGATACCCTGTTTAACGTTAGGAAGTGAAATAATTGAGCCTCTTGACTACTTCACTTACCTGGGAAGTTGAAGCAGCCCTGGTGAAATCTTCATACGGGTACATTAGGTTCACCAAGCCTTAGCTAACTTAAGTCATTTATGACATCACCGTGACATTCGCCTACCCATTTGGAGCTGATAATTCTGTGTATCAGTTCGCTCTGTTCTACGACTGTTAAACATAGCTGTTAAAGGTGGAAGAAATTGGAAGGCTTCACTTGCTTAACTTCTGTTGCCTTCGTGGTATAAGCTATATGTTGTGGTACCATCAAGTATGCATTTCAGAAGTTAGGCAAAGAAGTTCAAGTAGAAAAGGATAGTCAGTTAATGACAGTGTGATGTGTGTCACACACACCCAGTCACAGTCTGCCAAATCACGTGATATCAGATCAAGTATGTTTAGACTAGAAACGAGTTTTAGACGGCCGAACTAAAACATGACATCAGTTCATGAAGTCTCTGACTGTTAGTCTGAACTATATGAAGAAATGTAAAGTTTCTGCTTTCTGTCTGCATAACAAGCAAAATCAGTGGCTGGAGACTCAAAGTGATACAGCTTGGAATCGAATTCACTGATGCAGATGTCTCCATATATTATTTTCATCCCAATCTTTACAATGAATTTCATAATCGATCTACTACTTTCTGCTCTTTTTTCATGAATTTCTATCATTTGAACTACTTTCTTCATAATTCTCTATCTTTTATTTTGTGTTGATGTGAGGTTTAGTAGCTTGGAGCATTGCGTAGTAATGACAGGTTTTCGATTGCTCCTAATGGACTCAGTTGTTGATGATGAACTATGTCTTTTATCCGTGATGGTAAGATACAATTGGTTCTAAAGATTTTCACCACAGTGGCTGCTAAAAGCTTCTTCTTTATTGATCTCACGAGCTTTTTTGTGAAGATTTCAGTTAGATTATCTCTCTTGAAATGAAGGCTTAAAAATAGCTGTTCCGTAAACAAGTGAAGGTGAATGACTTTTTATTTCAGTGAGTTATTTTCTTTTTAGTAAAATTCCTCTGGTATCCTTTTTCTAGAAACACTTCTTTTAGGTTATTCCACTTTTCTTTGATTACAGTTCCTCAATATACTCTTCTCGATGTATTCATTGGACAGTATAAAATTTTGTCTTTGATGTAGAGGCATTAGGCTATAAGGATGCTTACATTGCCCTGTCTAAAATGATTTCTGCTGCATACATCTAATAATTTCTCTTCCGTTCCTACTTTAATTGATTCACCGAAGCTATTTCATCGCCCTTATTCCGACGTATCATTCATAGGCTAGACAGTTTACAAGAACCCTTGAACTACTAAGAAGGTATAAAGCGAAAAAAACAATTTTTATTGACATGTACAATTTCATTGTCTCAGAAAAAACTATTCACTATTTCGAGAAGTAAATACTTCATGTAAGTAGGGAATTCTAGCACTGCGGTAGAGTGTGATTAAATTATAGATTACTCTATTTGCCAGACCACACTGCGATAAAGTATTATTTACTGGATGATATTTCCCGTATAATTTATTGCTATCATCCATATGAAGGTAATCACAAAAACTTTCAAACTTCAATAGCTCTTCATTCTTTCATCTCAGTGGTAATACGATTTCTAAATATCTGCAATCTGTGATGTGTATCATTCCTGTTACATGTTTTAGGTGCTGACTCGATGATCAGACACCACGTAATTGATCTTTCCTTCCACATTACTATGTTAAATTTTATGA